TCCCCGTCTGAGAGCTGATTTCCCTTTTCGACCATTGCACAACCCAGCATGCCATGCGGAGGAGGTGCTCTGTTTTTATTTGTCCGGCCCCAAGCGAGCGGTTTTTTTTCGAGTGCTGCGGGAATTCTGCAAGAAAGCAGGATCAGGCTCTGAAAATGTGTACATGTCTTTTTTTCTCCACAAGAACTTGCGGACAAGTAACTGCCCCATGAATCAAGCGTCACCCAGCTACTACAGTTTCTTGCTAATTACTTTTCTTTTAAAATAATATATCTGAAGGAAATATGTATTTATATAATTTTGAACTGGAAAGGAAGTCGACTGTCACGCGTGACACGACTGACGTGATATCGCGCGTGATTTTGCATAGTGCTATTTACGCAATGGTCGTGCGCGTTCGTGATTCTCAAGTGATATTAAATCAGGGGTTTGCGTGAAAATGAGTGACAACATGATTTTCCTATCGTGATCGGGAGTGACCGCGAGTCGAAAATCATTGACGCGCACACCTCTAGACCGAAGCACTTCGTAAATTCCTGCCCTGGCAGGAGGGAATGAATTTACATTCCCTGGCAGGAGGGAATGAATTTACATTCCCTCGCAGGAGGGAATGGCTTCCAGATTTTGCGGAAGAAGACGTAGGCCTCCTAGATGCATCCAGGCAACTCACGATGGAACGTAGCGAGACTCGATTTGCTCTGACCGATTATCATCCAATTGCCCTTTTGAAATTCTCCCAACTCAGCATCGAGAAACCGAGGCGGAGGGATGAAGAGAGTTTCTCGCCTCCACTTCCCCCGACACCGAGCTGTTGCCCTCTCCCTACCCCCCACCCTTCGCTTTAGACATCTACATCTTCCTTGGGTTAAGTAATGCTTGTACACGAGGTGAGCTCCCCGACCCCATCTCACGTCTCCCACGTACGGTTCGCGCTTTGTCTTATCTACCCGGGTAGATTCCCATCGCGCAAAACTCCTTAGGGGATCTTCGTATCATCCGCATAAATTTTAATGTTATTGAAGGTCGGTTCTTCCTCCCCGAGGCATAGATACCATCCAGGAAGAGGACATCCTCTCCGAGTTCGAGGGAACCAGAAAGAGGGCAGCTGAGAATGTTAACTTCATTGTAGTCAAGTACAATATTAAACTTCCTAGTTTTTTTTAAAATGGATTTTGCAATGCAGCTGAGTTCACCGTTTACTCAGAAAGGCTCTTTAACAGCTCGAGACCAAGGACTGTGCTAAAGTTAATTACTCAATTCATCCTAATTTCATATACATTTGTGCAAGTTTTATTCATTTATCCATCCATCGTGGAGGATGAAACCGTGCGTCCCACTTTCGACCAGTTCTCAGACGAATCGCGAAGAATAATGCCCTCGGTGAAAACGTATATCAAGGCGAAGACGACCGATTTGGACCGGTCGTGCACCCGGGTCATCCCATTCCAGGTAGGGAATCCAAAACAGTAGAGCCATGTAGTCATGTAGTTCGTGATGACTGATAACGAGCTGGCATTCATCCGTTGCCGGAAGACAACGGTGGAATCGGGACACTTTCATCTGTCCCCGTCCTCGCACCGGGAGGGGAAAAGCCTCGAGACCTCGTCATATCTACGACCGAGAACGGAGCTTTTCCCTTCATTACTTGCGACTTACGGTTTGCTCACGCTCGTATCACGTCTGATAAAGCCGAAAGACGTACGCACTTTATCTAACAGCGTGGCAGGGGCATTCGTGATTAAAACCTGCTGTGGATGCTTATGAAACATGAGCCTGATGCTATCCATCGACAGAGTCAATTCGAAGGCAGGAATTGGCTTATCGTGATGGCCCTATCAATAGACAGGATTTTTTTTTTGTTAAATCGCAGCGACGATATCTTCATTGACGAAGTGCCTCATTTCGTGGCAAGATATTCCAGAAGCGCCGTCGAAAAGAGATATGAGATCCGCCCTTGGCCGGTGTGAGAGGAACATCACTCAAAGAAACAAAATTGCATTCACAGAGAAAAAAAAGTGATTCTAAAAATGCACCCGAGGCTTATTTTCCTGTTTTTTTTTTTTTCTCCACGTGAACGTCGTCTTCCACGCGATCATCATATGATGATGTCTGCGATGGGAAAATATATTATCGTGCGTGCGCCGCACGATATTGAATACGAAGACTGACTATGGATGATTCTGAGGATCGTAGGAGCCTGGAGCAGATATTGCAGATGCCGTCATTCACCCATGGCGATGATGTGAATCCACCGTGAAAGACGATGCAAAATACGGCTCGAGGCAAGGCTGCCTTGAGCTTGTCTCTGGTTCGGCTGTCTCGGTTTCTTCTTCCGTTCGCGCTATCTGGCAAGCCCAGCTATTGCTGATTTACACCATCGTGACATTTTACCACGATAGAATTATCTCTTCCGTTCATACTATGGTCATAAGTCGATAGTCCAGCCGACGTCGATAGTCGTAACGCTTAAAATAGGTAATTGAAAGAGTAGAGAGAGTATATGCCTGATGCATGATGCATAATGCATGATGCATGGTGTCTATATCCCGGGGATGACTCTGTCGCTCCGAGCTTTTCTAAACAGTATTTATCGTCCGCTTTCCTTGTCTCCGCTCTAGTCCCATCATTCATTCACTTCCAATAGGTTTTTGCCATATAAAACTTTTCGTTCGGGATGAGGTTCGAGATTTTGCTCAGAAAGGGAGATTTACGGAGACCAGGCTCCATACCAAAGAATGAAATCCATTCAGTGTGGGAGAAAATCTTGGACAAGGAGACACACTCACACAAACGCTATGGGTTGCTCTTTTTTGTGCAACGTCCAAGGTTCATTGTTTGATCTGGGACGTCGAGAGGCATTTCTGCCCATATTGACATCCCGAGTCGAGGTCGAGCACTCATTTAAGATAGACCAACCCCTTTAAAGATAAATATTTTTGATGGGAGCGTCTCAATCTACAGTTTACTTACTTGCCGCTATAATGCTTCCTCTTCTTTCGCTCGTGAGGGTATCAAATCTCACGCTGAAGTTACTCAAGGAAGGGCCAGGAGTTACACCCCGACAAGTCGCTACAACTCGAGTTCCACTTGGGGCTTACACGTTACAAAGTTACGAATTGGTTCCCTCTCGTCCTGCTGTTACTGTGGAGTTGGAAGAACCTATCACGCAACATTTCATCGATGCCGTAAATGGTGTTATGTGCCTGGATGAGATCTCCTCCCCTTTATTCGAATGCAGTCCGAATGCGTCTTAACTTGAGTTGAATGAGAGCCTCCGTACTTCCTCTATCATCTTAGTAGCCTCCGAACCCTCAGAATCCATGCCTTGAATCGGAAAATCGAGAGACTTGCGTCAAGTATCACATTCGTCTATCTCATCCCGAGAATATTCCTACAAATTTCTTAGCGATCAAATCGGTCAGTAATTACATTATATGCTATCTCTGACTTTCATTTCTGCGATCGATCGGCATAGAATGGTCATGGAAGGCCAGAGGCAAGTCCCGTCGTGTGCATCAATGTTCACTGCAGCCCAGGGCTACTGGACTCGCCCATGCGGATGTGGAGACACTACGTCCTGGCCTGGCCTGGAAACGCAGTGTTGGGAGACGGAGGGACGGGATTTCGATTCCATTCGGCGCTTTCAATCCGGCGGTGTTGGATGTCTCTCTTGGGGTGACGGAAACCTCGACCCCACTTTCACTCGGGTTAGAGAGACACCGTGGAATGGATCCGTCTCCGTCCGAAATCCCTTCCTCCGAATCGAATGCCAAAGGGATGGAATCCTGGCTAGGAGGGGACCGAGGGCGAGGCGACGCCAACGAGTCTAGAAACTTTTAACTGCTATGATGTTGAATCCCTTGGGATAAATATTGTGCAACTTCGAGATCAAGTGCTGCCTTTCCATTATCGACCGTGTAACTTTTTCTTCCTAAGACGATCCGAGTATGAATCGCCTATTGGTTTGAGGCCCTTATTACGAGAAGTTGAGAAATAGATACTGTTTTACGGCCCATAAAAAATTACCTGCTTCTGAGATATGAGCTCCGACCGGAAGGTATGGAAAGGGACTACACGTGGAGAACCTCATTTCTCTTTGAAGAAGAGAGGACACAGAAATAAAAAGTTCCACGAGCGAGCAAAGGGAATATCTTGTCTTTGTCATCGTAAAACTTCCTATGCAACTTATGCAACATAAGTAAAGGGTGGTTATGGTTAAATTGAGAGATTTGAAATCGGACCTTGCACCCTCATGGGCACCTCACCATGGGACCATGGGCACCTCGGGTCCTGTCGTTCTCCCCAAGATGGAAAAGGATGTCGAGACCTGGGTTATCGATCGATGGTCTGAGAAAAACCGATTAGATATCAGACAGATCAAGGACGGGGCAAATCAAAACTTGGGAAAAAAAAAGTTGTTTAACCGGAATCGGTTTGACTGCTTGGAACCGAGTTAAAACTGGTTAACTGGTTTTGGTAAGACTAGTAGTATTTGGCGGTCGAGTGCAAGTAAGCCAGTTCAGTTTCACTAGTAACTAGTAAACTGATGCCTATAATCCGGGGATTTAGGGATTTGGATGCTATCAATCCCTTGATGATAAGCTGGCTAACGTATGAATGTGCGCCAGTTGAAAGAATCCTTTCATAGATACCGAGCTATGTTTGTAGGCATAGCTTCGGTGAGGTTTGAGCGTTATTTAAAGCATGAATGCAGCTGTTCCCAGGTTTTGAAGAGAACCGACGAGTTCATCACTCTTCCTCGGACGACCCTTGGGTTAATTGGAGAATTGATCTGTTGAGCAATTGGATGTGAAGTTCGAGGTTCGGTTCGATTTGCTACCTAAAGCCTATCTACGGCCGTGTTCGTTAAATCCAGGAGGAAAGGAAGAAATTAGGCTTCGCCAACAAAATATACGCTGGGGAATATTTACCATGGAATAAGTGTCGGTAGGGAGGGGGGTTCGTCGTGATGCCGGGGGCAGACGGAGGCAGGCAGGTGGCTCGGCCCGGACTGCGGCTTTTATAGCTCCGCCCTCGGGGCCTAGCACTGGTCGTCCCGCCTCGGTCTGGGTCTCAGTCTGCTCCGCGATGCCGTCGTGCTTCCACGCCGTCTATCTTTCCTCCCGTTCCCTATCGCGATGGTGATGCGGCTGTTTAGAATGCGATTGAGACGCTGGATGGGAAGGGTGATCTTCCTGGTCGTGGTGATCACGACTCTGCTCTTTCTCCTCGTATGCGTGGCAACGAACGATGATCCCAGGCAGGGACGTTTCGTCCAGGACTCGAAATTTCCCGCCCGGTCCGTCAAGTCCCAGGACCTCAACGATGTGATCGCGATGGACCATGTTAATAATCATCTTGTGACGACGGACAAAGAGAGGACACCCACGGTGGCCTTCCCGCCGATTTTGAAGGACGTTTTCATCAGTGTTAAAACCACGGCCGGGTTTCATCGCACTCGACTCGATGTCGTCTTGAAGACTTGGTTCACCATGGCCAAAGACCAGGTAGGCCTCGAGCGTATACCCATTTTGGATTTCATCCTTCATGCTTTGTCAAGCGTAAAACGTTAATGTGGGCTTGCTTGGCCATATTCTTGGCCCTTGCCTGCATTTCGTTCTCTTATGGGCTTGAGCTTTTCGGTACAGGGTACTTTATAGGCCTATTTCTGTCGCACGTTTTGTGGCCCATTTTTTTGCTATATTAGACGCTTATGTTGAAATCATGAACAGAACGTTTCGTAACTTCGCAACAAATTATGGTGTCAGCTATAGCTCGGAGATTTCTTCACAGACAGGTTCCGTTTTTTCTCTCTCGTCTGGAAATTTGAGAGGAGAGGGGGCAATGTGTTGTCCATTCAGAAAGGGAATGACAAGGAACATGACCCACTTCATTGGGGGCGTCTGTATGCAAATAGAGAGGCAGGCATGAGGCTTGCTTTACCCCCGTGAAACGGGATCCTCGGCACTTTTCATGAGGAAACAACACACTTTTCTCGACGACTGGACCTCTCGCATTTCTCCTCCCCCAAGCCCTCCTCCCCCTCCCCAATATTTCTCCCTCGTCTTTCTTCTTTTCTGCCTCAAATCAAGTATTGTCAAAAGTTTTTTTTTTTTTTGGAGGACATGGGGTGGAAGAGACCATGGGGGTCCGAATTCAGAGCCGTTGTTATGTCCCATTGTTGCGAGGCCTTATCTGCATGCGAAGGTCACGTGCAAGGGAAGGGGGGATGGGGATGGATCGATTCCTGGCCCCGGTTCACACTCACGGGTCCTGGGGTCATCCAACATCTACTCTCACTTCCCACGCTCTCTTCCCCCCGCCTCCCTGTCCTCGCTAAATACTCCCTCTCGTGGGGGAAGGTTCGATCCACGCCTCACCCCCGGAGCACACACGCATCTGCATGCGAAGTCACAAGGAGAAAAAAGGGGCTTTTTGGGGGGTTTTATTTTATGGACAGAGGAAGAGGGAAGCGAAAATTGTCGGGGGCCTTTGATCTATTGTCGAGAGGGGGTGAAAATAAAAAAGAGGGGAAAGAAGCAGACGTAGAAGAAGAAAGATGTCGAAGGGGATGGGATGAATGTGGTCCAATGATCTCGGCCAGACCGTCCATTTTCTATACACCTGGGGTGTTTTTTCCCCCTTCAGCCCCTTTCTCATTCTTACCTTTGCCTTTTCTTCGTCTGTTGACTTTTGCGATGGGCATGCGGATTGTGAGGTCTGTCCGCGTCGACGAGGCTTCGGATTACCCTGTCGTTTTTGTATGGGAAGGTCTTCGTTCCCAAAGTGACACGAGATCTCGGTGGGAACAATAGAAAAACCATACCCTATTGCTGTCTTTTTTTTTTCTCTCTCTCTCTATAATGAAGGAAGATGACGCACCTTTTTTTCTTCCCACGCCCGCCAGCATGTGTTGAGAAGAATCCCATGGCATTCATTGTTCTTCTATGGGGGTAAAAGACTTCATCCCAGTATCGTTTTTGAAGCCCATCTGGTCTCAACATGCCGTGCAGCCAATTTATCCAGGCGCGAAATTCTTCTTTTCGGTGAAAAATGCCCCATGTTTCTCTCGCCCGCAAACCAGGAAACGTGCAATACACATGCTTGTTGGAATTTCTTTCCCGCTCTTGCTTTTTTTTGTTTTTGCCTCTTTAGCTGTACCGGTTTTCTTTGTGAGACGTGTCTTCCAAATGTGCACGAAAGGGCTGGGGGGGATATGGAGGGTTTCGGATGACGATGTTGACAACTGGAAGGGGACGGGGAATATAAGTATAAACAGAAGACGTTCTCTGGAAACGCACGTGGAAATCGGCGACTGTTCATAAACGGAATCTTCCTGACCATCGCGAAAAACTCTCTTAATGAGAACCGATTTCCTCTCACGGCCTTTTGTCGGCTGGGTCAAAAGTCCTGGCCTCAAGTTCAAAGAAAAAATCTCAAATAAATCCAGGAATATCACAACGAGAGAAAGTGGAGCTCGTAATGGACTTTTTTCTTAATCTTTAATCGGATGATGGGAGTGATTTGTGGTGGAAGAGGAAGTGAGTTTTTTTATCGCCTGGAGGAAGGTCCCTTCGCGTGTGCCGGACAAAGAAGGCCACAGATTCCTTGGCCAGCTGCTCCTGTTCCTTTTATTCATCACAAGGACTGCCCCTTTTTTTTTCTTGCCTCTCTCTCCCCTCCATTATTGTGGGGGCCTTCAAGAAGACACCTGATGTTATTTCTTCCTCCGTCCAATCAACGACGTCTTTCTGTCTTTTTTTCCCCCTTTATCTCCTGGCGCCAGTTGCTTGAAGGACCTCGATGAGGGGTGTAAGGGGTGGTATTGTTCCGGTTCCTCAGGGAAACACCTCCCCTGGTGCTAGTAGGAGAGAAAAAAAGTGACGTTGTCTTGTCTCCTTATCGGCCATCGGGACTTCTTGTCAGGGGAACTCAAGGGGAGAAAGAAAAGAAGAAAAAGAGAGACAGAGGAGAGGGGACAGACTTGTCTTGTCACATTCCCAGGCCCTTCACTCATGCCTGACTTGGGAATGGGGGAAATGGATGGACACGGACCTCCCACTTACACCCACGCCTTTTTTGTGCTGTTTAAAGAAGGGAATTGCTTGAGGACAACCTCTTCGTCCTTCCACTCTTGCCATTTGTCTCCTGGCGTCCCGGCGTTTATCTTACGTCGTTCTCTGTACTTGGCACATCTTGTTCGAGCACTTCAGCGCTTTTGAGAGGGGCTCTTATTCCGGATACATGATAATATGTGATGATTTAAATGTGGAGTTGATGGGAGTACAGATGATTCCTCTTGTTTGTTGCAGACTTGGATATTTACGGACGTGGATGATCCCTACTACCAGGAGAAGACAGGTGAGAATTTTCATTATACGGTATCGGTTCCTCGTTCGTTCCCCCTTTTGAATGGGGAGAGGAAGGAAGGGGGAGAGAAGCAATAGGATGCGATGGGATGATGCCCTGGGGGGATTTTCCCTCTATTCCTAATCCCAATGATAATCAGGCGACGCCCTTCCGTTATATTCACCCTCTTGCATCCGCACAAAAAAAGAATAAACCTGGGCTTTGGGCTCGTCTCGATTCTGTCCCCTTCGGTTTCTTTTCTTCTTGTGCTCATCGAACCATGATCGGGAGTGGGACTCTTAAGAATCTCTTTCGCTTAATTGTCCTGGTTAATGAGCCATTCCCCGGTTCCATTATCGCTTCTCTGCATGCCCCTTTTTTCTTTTTCCTTTGTCGTCTCCCTGGCCCCGGCCGTCGTCATTTCTTTTGTTATGAGTGTCACGAACGGCGAACGGAGTTTTTATATAGGCTCTCTCCTATCTCGTCGATATTACTCATTATGACTCGACAAATGCCGAATTCAGTCGTCCGTGACCAGGTTTTTTTTTCGGGTGTCTGGGACCTTGATTGGGCTAGGGATTGTAGTGAGTTCGCGCAACAGATGCGGCATTCCATTCGTTATCTATTTCTGGAAACTTTGGTAACGAAATAAAATCTTGAACAAGCACGAGACAGAAAACGTGGATGGTGTGGATGTGGAACGAAAAGCAGGGGAACGTGAGTAATATTGAATTCCTCGGGCAGACGATAGTGAGAGGACGTTTTTCCTTCTGGAGACCGGAAAAGGACACTCGAAAGAGGAAGAAGAACGATAAATTCGTTATCAGTCTCTTGAAAGAGGCGTGGGAAAGACAATCGGGGCCAAACCAAATCCTCCTCCCCGCAGATGACGGCGGAAAAATGCCTTTCCGACTCCCTTTGGCAGCCGCGTGTCTTCACTGCCCAAAATCATAGCGATGTGGGTGGGCGCATCGGCTGAGGGAGTGAGTACGTGAGTGTAAAAGCGATGACAGCATTAATGAGGGCGTTAGACGGGAGAATCCCTCGATCCTTATAAGTACAGCCCGAAGCCCGAATCGTAAACCCTTGTACGAGAAATTAGAAAAGATGGGACTCCCGACACCCTTTTTCAATGGCAGTTTCTGCAGATTCCTCGCCCCCTTTCTCATCCGTCAGCTGCATCCCCACATGGATCGTGATGATCCCTCGGGAAGGGTATCTACGGAAATGGAAGCCTCATGGGTCCAATTGAAGGTAGCGTAGATATATGCGGGGGGGGCCATCGAGTAGATGAGCGAGTGACATTAGCCGAGGTCGTGCCCGCGGGCTTCCTTTAATTCATGCCGTCTAGGGCATGAATTAACGCTGCGGTTCTCGTGTAATATAGTGGTGGTGGAGCTTTACGGTGCAGGATGGATTTCTTCCTTCCCGTTCGCCTGATGAGATGCTGGGAGCGGAATAATGACTCGTTTATTTCGTTTTCTTCAGGGAATCACATGGTGAACACGAACTGTTCTTCGTCGCACAGTCGGAAGGCTCTCAATTGCAAGATGTCCGTGGAGTTCGACACCTACCTCCGCTCCGACAAAAAGTGAGGCCCTTTTTTTCCCCATCACATCGTCCGGAATCAGTTTTTCTGCTTCTCTTCTACAAGGCGGCCCAGGTCGTAAAGATAAAGCTTCCTCGTCCTATCTTGCGACGATCAAGTGTGGCTTCTGCTCCTGTTTGGAGTCATTCCTGGCCTCAGATGACCTTTGTTCCCGATTAACACGTGTGTTACGCGGCCTGTCATGCGATATGTGCTATGCGCCGTGTTTTTCTCCCCTCAAACACCATTTGTCCGCATGTTAATGGGTGACGGAGTCCGGTTACGTCTTCGCTTCTTCGAGGAGGCTCTCCCGCCTTTTGCTTCTGCTCATTACTTTTCCAGCGTAATTATTTAATTTTCCGCACATAAGTGTTGATAATTCTCGACTATGCGTTACGATTTGATGTTTTCCATTTTCCATATTTTTCTCCGTCCTCATGGCGGAACGGGAAGGCGGGTGGACGGGGTGATTTATCGTCTCATAGCCTGGATGGCTGGAATTTCTCTTATACACCGATTTCCTGTCCATCCCCCTGCCATCCATCCATCCATCCCTCCCTCCATCGTCGCGTCTGAAATGGGAACGTTGGCCTCCATCCTCATCGGTTCACCTGTTTGTGCTGTGTCTATGTATCATATCTCTTCTCCTCGCGGGGGTACTTAAAAAGAAAAAGACAGGAGAGAAACCAGTCCTCATAAAATAGGGGATCTCGACAGGCAAGGCGCATGGAAATAGACGACCTTCGTTTATCTTCTTGCTCATACCCGTATGAGACCGACCGAGTCTCCCACGGGGGACTCCACAGCACTGCTCTTTCTCCTAGTTTTTTTTTTTTTCTAGCAGGACTAGATCACAGATTGGGAGGGAGATAAGGGGAGGGACCCCTTGCACCTGCCACAGTTTCTTTTTTTTTTTGTCGAAAATAGAGAATGGAATTACCTCGACCTGGCCTCCGAGGAACACCTGTCTTCTCTTTGTGCACACACTTTGTTGGACCTCGGCCAAAACAAAAACTTTTTCCTTTCTCATCCCTCTCCGTTCAGTTCAAGGTTAGCTGGATAAGTCAGGCCCTGCATTCCTGAACCGGTAGCTGGAGGTGTCATGTATCGTGCATATTGTCCAAGAGGATCCTTGTAAGCTCGAAAGCATGGTTGTTGTGGTCGTTGGCTCGCTGCGCCTCTCGGCCGTGATCGGGATCGTGTTTCTGTACGAGACTAGACTAGGTTTCTCGACAGACAGGCCTTAGGGCAACTTCCCTCATGAAATTTAACAATCTTAAGATATTATCATGTCTTCTTTCGCGCCGAACTCAAGGGTAACCGTTCTTATCCAAAAAGGAATTTCGCCATTTGGTGATCAGCCATTATCGGTGTCGGTGGATCAGCACATCGGCCAATTTACGAACAAGTATCTGATGGGCGACTCACTGTTCATATCGGTTAATAAAACCTAGAAAATGTATTCGAATGAATCGTATAACAACAGTCGTTCTTTCCGAATGGCGTTTTCCCCCTTCATTGCTGGAATGGCGAACCCCGGGAATCGCTCAGCTAAGTGCACATGCTGCTTCTTGGATGATATTAGTGCCACGACGAGTACCATTTGGCATGAGAGGAGCCTGGCATTGAGACATGCATTCTTTTATTCTCGAAGTTAATCATCTGAGAGAAAGGAGGATGGAGTCGGAACATTTCCCTCGCCCCTTAAAGTAATAATACGTTTAATTCTGAAGCCCGTCATCAACTAGAGGACCAAAATTAAATGGTTAGACCTACCCGACCAGAACACTTTATTCCTTTGGGATTTTTTTTTTATGCTAAAGGATTTTGTTAGGAATTTGTCTCGCTGTTGTATTTGTTTTGCTCCCCTTTCTTTTCTGTCTTCCCTTGGGGCATAGTATCTGTTGAAATCAGTTTTGGGATTATCCGGATCCCCCGAAGGTGCAGTGAAAAGAAAGGGAGAAAAAAATCATTAATCTGGATTTTGGTGCCCACCCCCACACACGTGGAGGATTATCCTCCCTTCACCGCTCGTCTAGCCGTCTTTCTCCCATTCACCTTCTTTTCCGTATGAGTAAATCCGCAAACGGGATGCCGTATTTCGCATTCCCGATCCGCACGTAGGTGCGAGCCTGGGAGGGAAAAGAAGGGAAAAGGGACGAAGAATGCCGGCCGTGTCGAGAATTCAGATGGAATTATATTATTCCACTCTCTTTCCATATGATCGTATGAAGGGGGATCCTGGGAAAAACGTAAAAGGCAGGAAGGTGAAGTCGTCTCATCGACGGGGCATGAAACTGCGTCATGCATCATCGGAGATTTTTTTTCCGTGCTCCCGTCATCATCGGCTTCTGTTTCTCACGCCACGTTTAATTACACGCCGGTCACGGACCCGTGATTCGACTTGCTTGCGTCTTTAGTATTCCAGACGAGGAGAGAAAGACGGTTCAAGACCGGTAGCCTTGATAAAAAGAAAAGGCCTTCGGGGGGTAAAGAAGGAAGAAAAAAAGTACTTTACATCGTGACCCCATTGCAGACATGGATGGATGGATGGACCTTTACATTACATTACAATTTACAACGGGGCTGCTTGTTTACGCTCCTCCTACTTGGTATTCCTCGGATCGACGAGCTCCCAGTTTTTGTTTTCTTTTTCCCTCGTCCGAGTAAACAGGACTTTTCGATCCGACACAGCGACAAACGTCTGTTAATGAAAAGTAATGGGCGCGTCCTCTTATTAATTAGACTTGGAGGAAGGAATTTCTCCTATTGTCCTTTATTAACGAGTTTCCCACCCGGACAAAAGCCCCCCCCGAAATGTGTTTGTCCGGGATTCCTTCCTCTTCGATGCATCCCTGCTGTTTTTTATCTCTGGGAAAAAAATTGTCTCCCGTTGCAGGTGGTTCTGTCACTTTGACGACGACAATTACGTGAACATTCCTCGCCTGGGGGAAGTGCTGGAGTTGTACGACTCAGGGAAGGACTGGTACCTTGGGAAAACCAGCATCAAGACCCCCCTCGAGTTCGTCAGCAAAAACAACGTAAGTCCTGTCAAAAAAAAAAAAGAGGGGGGGGGGGGGGACAATAAAACCCTCAATCGAAATTTCACCCTGGGAGGAGCTTTTCTCTTTCAGTCCCTTATTGAGCGTGAATGACAAACGATTCCTCCTTTTGTTTATGGTCGACGTGGGCGGCTTTTTTTTGCCTTTCTTATCTTGTTCGGGAGATTTTGTATGCAATGCAGGAGACAAAACAACAACAAAATGAAGGCAACAGGAACAGCAGCAGTTTTTTTTTTGTCCCTGGAGACGTTGAGAAATGGCATATCTGCGCTGGCATCTTCCCCCCTGCCGAAATCGGTATGCAAGAAGGTCCTCGGGCAGGGATGCCACAGCCAGAATCGAGGATGCTGAATCAGGACCTCCTCCAGGTGTATTCATTATACCAAGAATGTCTCTACTCTACCATAATGAAAAGGCTCTCCTCCTCGTCATGATATGGGAGGGGCGCCCGTTATGGACACAATAGCCCCTGCCTTATCAGAGTTTCAAAAGGCATCGGCATCGAAGAAGAGGAGGGAATTACAGAGACAGAGAGGGGAGGGGGAGAAAATGAGCAACGTAGGACGGGGGGGGGGGCACGTCTATCACCTCTCTTTTCAGTTTGTTAGAAGAGGTGAGGATAGGTAGGAAAAGGGCGCATGCTTGAAAGCAGGAAGAAACTTGACAGGTGCTGTCGCCTTCGAGTTGATGTCTTCCGGCCCGGCTCCAGGAATTCACCAGCCCGGAAGAGGCTCGCATTCATATTATTTGCCTGCCCTCTTCCGCGTGAAGTTGCTCCCGTCGAGGAGGGTTCGGTGACTTGACCGTCTCAAAGTCCGGACAACTTGCTCGTCAGATCATTAGGAGTTGGTTCGTCTGGAGACGCTCGACTGGAGAGTCTCCGAGTTTCTTTCGTTGAGGAAACTTTTGCACTTGATGACGGAACCGTATCATCTTTTGTTGACACAACACTGGTCCTGTTCACGTTTTTCCCATCCATGATGCTCTTGAAATTTACCTTTGGAAGCTTTCTATTTTTTACCCCCTCGTCTTGTCTCGTCTCCGTTTCCCCTCTGTTTGTCTGTGGCATTCGTTATCTGTATCTTTATGTACAATACTAGGGGGATTTTTATTTTTATGACGCGATGAGTGATTGTTGTCCTTTTCTCATAGAGCACACGCCGACCGGTCTTATCTCCCATCGCGGCCCATAAAAGAGCGGACGAGGATAAAACGAAAGACAAAAAGATAGCTAGGAATTCCATCCCTTTGCACTGGGCAGGATTCCAACGCGAAAGACTTGTGCGGTGGGGGAATGGTATGCGTCCGATTTCTCACCCACTAAAGAGAGAAGAAATTTTTTCCTGTCCTCTTTCCCCTTTTCTTCTCTTATTGATGGGAGGACGTGGGGGACAGTTTGTCACCCCTGTCGGTGTCGTAAAAATGTCCTCGTGAATACCCTCTCTGACCTTGGACCCTAACCACACGAGACCTTTGTGGTCCACACCTCCATGGAAATTTTCTTACCATTCAGGCCTCCTGTCAAGATCAGCCAGAGAAGCACGAAGTCTGTTCTTGCAAGTTCTTTTAACTCATTCACCGCGGCAATCGAACAAATTCGATGGCGAGAAGTCGTGCCACTAGCACGGTTGTCTCAAATATATTCTGAACTCTCCCGAACTCAGAAGACGAAATATTTTATTTATCTACCTAGCTCCGTACGACCTTTTGCTTTTATGTGACTAACGCACTAAAAAAAAAAAAACCACCAACGCCAGGAGTGCCGCCGCTTGACACAAAACTCAGTGGCGAAAGGGTTAATTTTGATGAAAACGCAGCAGGTCGATTTGACTTTACTGTATGATTCCATGATTATGAGGTGAAGTCGGTTGGGTGCAGTGACAGAATGCTCGTAGGAATCTGTGATCCCTGTCAATCTGATAGAACAACCAGTTAACTGGTTGAATCCCCAGTTGATTCCTTTTTATCGCATCCTTCCATCATGAGGGTTTATTTTCCTTTCCATTTGCCCCATTAAGAATTATATCCTGATCGTATCTCGTTCCTTGATCTTATTCCATTCAGTAAAATGGGATGTCGTATCCCGTGCGGAGAAGCTAGGGAATACATTCGGAGAGGAAAGAGGGTGAAAAATGGGGTTTTCCCCCGCGTAGAGATAAAGACCTCGTTTTGGGAGATAAAAATGTGAGGCGTTAAGGGAGATGGACAGAGACAGCTCCTCCTGGCTGACCCCCTCTGCAATGAAAAAGAATACGGGGGTCCGGTCGAGATTTATTCCGTCATTCCTTAATTTATGTGCTACTTTTTCTGTTCTGCCTTCTCCGTTTTCTATCCCATCTGTCTTTTCCTGACCTTTTTATTTTTTCTTTTTTTCAAGGGAAAGGACGTATCTTTCTGGTTTGCGACCGGAGGAGCCGGTTTTTGCCTCAGCCGCTCTCTTGCCCTCAAGATGGTCCCACATGCCAGGTACCACGACATTTCGTTTTTCCCCCCATTAAAGTTGTACCATTTCAGCTGGGAAATGTGAAGTTTGAAACTATATTTTGAATTTTTTTTTTAGCGGAGGGAGGTTCATCAGGATCGGGGAGAAGATCCGGCTCCCTGATGACGTCACCATGGGATACATCATCGGTGAGTGACCTTATATCATATCTATGCTCATCTTTCGTACGATCTGATTTGATTTAAGAAAGCAGGTGAATTCCAATCGCGAGCCCGCCTAAGTTGCCCACCTACTAGGATTTTACCTAGCAACAATAAGGGTCAACCGGTACGATGATGTGATAAATATGTGAAGGACCATAAAAGGGAAAGCATTTTTTTAGGGGGGAGGAGAGCTAAAATGTGTCTTATTATTACCTCACATCAAGAACAAGAATCAACATCTCTCAAGGAGAAGTTGATGTGGAAACTCCTTATGTATTTTTTTTTATTCGTCAACCTACGTCCTGGTATAATAGAGCTTTGCCAACGGTATTCCGATTTGAGCGCCTTTCGGACAGCTGATTGCCGGCATCGGTATTGATCGAGGCATTGCGTGGCTCATTGCAATTAACCTTCGACGATGAAAGAAATGTGGGGTTTCATTACATGCTTTTCCGAAGGCCATTCTCTCTAGTTTGAGCTTTTGTCGTTGGCTCGAGCTTAGGTGGGAACCAGGATGCGTGATTTTCATCTTTGACTCCGGCGTTTCGGGACGCGAATGGCATCTAGGTTGGCTTTTGCAGCGATGCGAGGTCGACCTTGAGTGTTTTGTTGCAGGCGTCGTCTTCGATCGTTTACTTTGGATGTAAATGCAGAGAGACGTAGTTTGGGGCCACGCGACATATATTATGGCTGAGGCATGAGGCATATCTGGCTTGCTTTTTCCTCCTCATGATGGATATGCATGACGCTCGCTTCGTCTTTTGCCTCATGCCGACACATCCACCCACCCCCTCCCCCCAACCCCCCCCCCCTCCGCGCCGAGAAAAAAAAAAAGGCCTTGAGGTCCCAGCAGTCTCATTGGTCACTGTTCGGTACCGGTACTGATATGAACCTGTCGGTAATCTATAGTTACTGTCCGTTCAATTGTCGGGGGTTAATGTAATGTGTTGCAATGACGCGTAACAGGTCACCGGTCGCGACTCCTGGCTGGATTGCTTTTTCTTGTAGTAACAGAGGGAGTGCGTCGGCAGCCGACCAATCGCACGATTGAATAATCTCCCCCTCGAGTTTTTTTTGCCCCTTCGCGGAAATATCAACCAAACGAAGAGGATCCCGCGAGGATGAGCCATCGAAACGATGAAGGAATCGAAGCGAAGTTGATGAAGGCCTGCATGGCCTCGGGGTGCAACTTAGCGTTTCACGGGGATTTCGTGACCGGCCCGTAATCGATTCCCATCGGCTTTTATCGACACACTCGTGGGAAAGGAGGGGAAAAAATTGGATGAAAGTTACCTTCGTTTCCTACCTCGCGTTTATTATAACGGTGGAAGGTGAAACGAGCGAATGGTCTTTTTTTTTAAATGAGGTCGTCTATGATTGAGGTCACGAAGTGCGTGAAGGGGGAAGCCCGATTGCGGAATCGTGTTCGACCCTTCGGGAATCTCCATATCCCTTCGTGGAGCCCTCTCGATTTTCTTTTTTCTTTCCCACGACCGCAGCTTTGAGGTGCAGGGTTTTCCAAAAAGCATAACTTGTGTCTCTGACAGACCTAAGAATCCGTACAGTGGTTTGCCAGAAATTGCCTAGAATTATGATTAAAGTTGAGCGCTTCCGTCCGGGGTTAAGCCCTTGTTCAAACGAAATGATTCCAAAACACACGCCAGCATGTAGGCCTGATTTCGTGAAATCGAGCGTAAAAGCATAGTTTTAAGTAATAGAAGATAATAAAAAGTTGTAATTATAACGAATGAAACACAAAAAGCATAATTCTAGAGGGAAGCATGATGAAAAAGCGCTTTTTCAAAAGGGACCGCGCCGAAGAAAGATGAGAAAGTTGGATTTCCCGGGGCTGCGTATAAGATGATGGCCTCTGTGATGAAGGCCTCTGACCCTCGGTCACTTCTGGGCGTTCACCTACAAGAATGCATTGTCGTTCACTTTTCATTGCGAGCAATCATAAAAGTGGAAAAAATATATATTCCTTTTATGGCGTTTTAAGGTTGTCCATAAATGTTATCGGTCGATATGCGCCTGTAGAGTTTCAGGAATATATTCTGAAAGCAGTTTTTTTGGGCTTCTTGAATTTTTCTTCCCGCCGAACATAGGAAGGATTCTCTGGACGACCTCAAGACCTTCATTAACTCGCGTCGAGATTTGCGATCTGAACCTGTAAACCTTTGGACGTGATCCGAATGACGTCTCGGGATGCGTTTCCCCTCCCTCTCTCTCTCTCTCTCTCTTTCACCTGGATTAATTAGAGAGGAAAGATCTCGCGGACTCATTAGTGTGGCGATATCGACGTGAGTCATCTTTCCCAAGGGAAACATCCAATTACCGAGGAACGCCCTAATCAGAAGGAATGCTCCTCTCCCCCTCCCATATCGAGGAGGAGAAAATAATTACGAAATGAAAAAAAAAAAATAGTTCCGCCCCGCGATCCATCAGCCTGATATGATGTGTGGACTGGAGATTCTTCTCTTGTCGCCCATTCCTTCTTGAGAAAGAGTCCTTTGTGCCGTCGTCATTAGACCCATTCCTCCCACATTCCTTTCCTTTGAAGGAGAAAAATTGGTACCCGTATCTTCCTCCATTGGAGGGATCGAGGAGAGAGAGCGAGAGCTTGGCGTCGCTGTCAAGTGTCTTTCAACTTGATCACTGGTCTTTTTGATGGTGATTTTATGAGCCGGTAAAAATTCGTCGACCCCCGAACTGCTGAATTTAACTTATGAAATGATTAAGTAGTTCGATATGCGAGAAAATATCGCGGATAAAAATGAAGTAAGGAAGAGCGACCAACGTGTATTGGACAGTATGTAATGGGTGCTAGGGTTGAGTACTTAGAGGGGGACATTTCCTGGTTTCTGACCGGTTAAATTGGACTCATTTGTGGATGCATTTCATTCTTACATTCGATGATTCATCAATTTTCTTTTCGATATGTCCTTGTGGAAAACAGAGCACCTGTTGGGGAAGAACCTGACTGTGATAGAGGGATTCCACTCGCACCTGGAACCCATGCAGTTCCTCAACCCTGATTCCTTCCACGAACAGGTATGAACCTCAACTGGAGAAATGCTGTTGGTATTTTTTATTGTGTCGTTCAATGGGATTTTTTCCCGCTTCGTTTCAGATCACGTTTGGATATAACGTGAACGGGACGGCAAGGAACGTGTTGAGGATCGACGGCTTCTCCACCCTAGAAGATCCCACGAGGTACGTCTCTCTTCAGTTCAATATATATCATCTACAAAATATGTGAAAATGCAAGGGAAAGTTTTCGAAAGTCGATAGAAAAAAAGGGATGTTAGGCAAGTGGGAGATGGGTAGAGTAATAGATACGGGGACGAAATAAATCTTTTTCCAAAAAAAAATCTATAAGGAGGAAATTTTCTTGTTACCATTCAGGTTCAGGCGAAAGAAGTAGATGTGATGGTTCGTTAGCGCTGTTTGTTTTTTCTCTCTTTCTTGGTCTGGGAGAAGAAAGGGCCGTTTTCCCCGTCTAATGAAGACAGTTTCTGTGTAAGGGCCTCTCTTTCCCTGGAAAGAGCGAGAGAGAGAGAGAGAATAAAAATGACGTCAGGGTGTTTTTTCCCACGAGGTTGGCTACCGGTCCTGACCTCTCGGCTCTCTTTATAATCACCCCCTAATTACACGGTCGTAATTAGTCATTGTCTCTCTCGCTCTCACGAGGAGGAGATCGTGACCGCCTCTCTTCCTAGTGCCATTCCTTGTAAAGCTACAGTACATTCAAGTTCCATGCCTTTCACATCGTGACACAGAGAGATTGAGATTGAGATGGAATTCGGTCGGTCGAGAGGTACAGTAAAGATCAAAGGAGAAGATGAGAGTTGAAAAGACGTCCTTGTTTTTCATTCCCACACTAATGAGGCGAGGGGCAATAATAATCACTGTTGACATTTTCGGAAAGAAACAACGTACGATGGGCGTACAACCAGGAAATTTTAATATTTGGAGAGCTTGTTAATTTTCTTGCTTCCAGGCTAAAATAATGAAGACATTTTCCTGTTTGTCCCGTTGCAGATTCCTTTCCCTGCACTGCTTCCTCTTCCCCGAGTTCGCCCCCTGCCCCAGGTGACAGGAGGGTAGTGTCATCCTCCACGGTCCTCTTCACTAGTCACTTGAACACGAAGAGAGAGAATGAAGAAATTACATGGGGGCGAGCTCAGAGCAGGGCTTTCTTGCAATCTGTTCTCTTGTCCTAAGCTGCTGTGATAATTATGTTTTCGACAGGGAACGACTTCTTTTCTGACCATCTGCTTGTTATTCGTGCTCATTCAGGACGATGCATTCATCTTTCATGACTCTTTGGGAAAGACAATGAAACAAAGACGATATATTCACCCCTTTATTATCCCGTGTTTCATTTGCAAGATGAATGAGCGAGTGCAAAAGAAGTTCTAAATCGATTCTGCTCGAGAACATTGCACTGCGGAACGGAGTGAAATGGATTGGACGAAGTAGTGGCTCAGGATTCAGAAGGAAGACGAGGCTCTGCATTAAATAAATATGTAAAAAAAACTGGTCGGAGCCAACTAACAGCCGGCTCGCATGGTTGGTGACTTCGTGGTTGAGGAAGGATCACATGACCCTTCTTCAGCCACAAAGTGGCAGTTGCTTTTTGTGGACGTGGAATGCGAGACATAGGACGATGGCTTGTTTGTGAATTCATATTCTGTAAGAAATGGCTTCAAACTTGTCATTTCCCAATCTGATCAATCTCAGAAGGAAGTCAAAAAGAAATAAGAAGCCTGGGAATGGAAGCACATTGAGGTTACGGCCAAATCCTATTAATTTTTCACACGTTTATGCTTGCTTTAATTGGGCAGGTGATGGTGGTTTTTTCTCATTTCCCAAAATTATGGGAGCAGGTCAGAGGAGACAACCTATTGACCTTGACACGAACAAGTCGTGGGAACTTAGGCTTTCCAGGTGTTTATTGCATAGAAAAATTTATCTTTCTAAACGTTGAACTAGTTGAATGCCTTTTTCGAATTTCATATTGGTAAAATTACCGTCTCGCCACTGTCGGCTCATGATAGGCTTAGCTGAAACATGAGGCATTTAGACACTCAAAGATTTAAGCATTTTGTAAATCCGACGGATCTGAGACGGTGCTCCGGAAAACAAAGGAAGGACGGTATTAAGAGAGCCTAGACATGGGTGGTTCCAAGACGTCGCACCAACGTTGCTCAGACGTCATGCCACCCATAATCGAGAAAATCATTCACGAATTAAGGATATTTACCTCTTGCACTCAGATGTGGAGCCCAATTTTCCCATCCCATACATTAGCGATGACGTGTGACTTGAAAGGCACGCCCGTCTGCTCCGCCTGCGATTGGGGGTGGGAGGGATGCGGTTCAGTCCATGAACCCCCAACAAATTCTCGTGGGTTTTTAGGACTCTTCTATTTCATGGCTGCGGAGATAATCAGGAAAGGGAATGATGGATGGGATTGAACGTGAGCTTCGAAAAGTTATATTTTGCTCAATCCATCACATCATCTGAAGGGACGAGTTGCCATCGGGACCGGTTTGCCCCGTGTAGCAAAAATTCTTGACATACCACTGTTCGACTTCGTTCGTTGACATCCATGGAATATTGCACACAGTACGTCAGTTGCATAGTAATCGTCTTGCAACGTCCTTGAAGCTTTGTAACATATAACGTCCTTGTTACTTGAGGACCTCCCACTAGGTGTCACTTGCAGGGGGAGAGTCGCTTCGGCCAGAGGGTGTCACTTCAAGGAAAAACATAAAGCAGAGGAATGATTTTCTTCGCATTTCCATCCATGTTCGCCTTAACGATATTGAGTTCGGAGCGTGTTGAATGCATGAGGTGGGGACAGGGGGAAGTTCCGTTCCTCCCTTCTTCATCATCAATCATTCTTGTCCAAAGGTCCTTCGTGAAGACGAGCAACTTCCTCCACATTCATATACTTTTTGGAGGTGCCCCAGACCTCCTCCTCGCCCCGCAGGGGGGAGTTATAAGGGACGTTGATGAACGAGGAAGATCCATATAGAGATGGATCCTTCCTTCTCGATTGGGACGGTTGAAGAGGAATCAGACCCCGTGGAAGTGGGAATTTTTTTTGGTTTTTCCCTGTACTCGCAAATTTCACTGCCTGAATGTACTATGCTGAAAAGTCATTGTAACTTCGCCCAACGCTTTTAGTAGAATTGTGGAGGCGCTATTGCTGGTACAAGATTTTCCCTCCACTTTTCCCATAAGGGCAACGTTTATTTCACCATTTTCAATACTTGTTTGTTTTTTCTTCCGAATCGTTAAACAGGAAGTTCTAGGCAGACTTCAGGGGATGAGCTGCTTCTCCCAACGGAGATATTGCCCCTCCGAGATAAGACGTAAAGAACTCCGTTCGTTGAAGGCTCTCGTCCTAACATTGTTTTCTTCTTCCTTGGGTTTGCCTTCTGCTTCAGGTGACAACAGGTGGTGTCGTCCTCCAATATCCTCTCCACGATACACGTAAACACGAAGATAAGAACGAAGAAATTGGGAACATGCTCAGAGCGGAGCTTCTTGTCCTTAGCCCTTCGATAATATTCCGTACTATCTGAAGTGATTCTCGGAAAGCATTCATGTCCACAGAGATCCAGGGAATGTATACAACAGGGGTGTCAAACTGGCGGCCCGCCAATCCATTTTGTCCGGCCCTCGAAGTCCTCTTCAACAGTTGGTTACCGAAAAGTACTGCAAATTTCAACCTGTTTGCATTAAAAATTAGATGTTACGTTTTTATTGTGACTCCTAATCACCCCCGAAGGTTCCCATCCGGCCCCCAGTCTAATCGAGTTTGACACCCCTGGTATACAAGATCGTGCTACAGAAACCACCACTATTCGTTGACTGGTGGAAAAACGTTAACAGGTCTTCCGAATTCAAAATGAATTAATCTTCCAGGTGGCATTCCTGTGTACCGGTTTATGTCGAACTTCACAGTTAATATAATTTTAACTTGTTTATTCAAACAACATTTCTGGGGATATTGGAATCGATGCAAAACGTCATGAGATGGCACATATGCACATTGTGTAACAGGGAGATTGTATCAAGGACACCTTCATGCGAAGAGACAATAGGTTTGTTTTAGTAAGGAGAGGAAAGCAATTTTTTTTGTTGATTCCTCTAAAGGAAACTTACAAGATCTGTGTTGAAAATAACAATTTACGAACACGCTATTAGGCAACGCCAAGCCGACAGATGGAGCACGCTTTGGGCTAGAGAAATCCAAGGAACGTACACATGCATGACGCTTGAAAGGTTCGCTTAACGTTTCGAAAAACGACTTTCCTGACATCTAGTGAAAGACACATACACTTTTGGTACATGTTTGTGTCTCATAGAGTCCGACTCCGCCCAGCATATGGCCTTGAATTAATCCAGAACTCCAGATGGCTCGTGCTCAAATGATGAGATCACTCGGAATATGTAAAAATTAAATCCTCACGAGGTGACTCGAGTAAGGAGACTTCGGTGCTTCAGCGAGAGCTTATTATTCCGCGGGTGGTGGTAAGAGGTGACGTAACGGGAAGAATTAGAACCAGGACAAACAATTTGCCATAATTTAAAATGGACATCTATGAGCTGAAGAAGACTTTCTACATTACTCCTTCCCAAGTAAAAACCGCTGAAAATTTTCGAGCGCATTCATTCCACAAATGTATTGAAATGTTAGAAGAATATTGCAATATCGTTGAAATAAACTGGGGCAGTATCAGAAAAATAATGGATTTTTTTTCTTCAAAAACTGCATTTGTGACTTTCCCCTGCAGTAGAAGGTAATCTCCAGCTGATTTCCTGCATGAAATGTTGCATAGTATCTTGGCTTTCTAGCGGGTTATAACTCGTGGACATATTTCTAGTCTTTGCTAGCAATATCCTTTCTCAACTTTTGGTGACTTATCCAAGAAATTTATAATAAATTTTATGGTAGTGTAGTATCCCTCAGTACATCTCATTGCATTGAGAGGTTAGTACTGCAATCAAAGACTGAGTTTCCATTTTGTTTGAAGAGAATTTACTCCCATGAACTTACATGTGCACCTAATGCATGATCTGCACAGAGAGTGAGTGATGGGAATATTTCTTTTAATGTCATTTCATTTACTGCAGAATGTCCGCTGCTAATATTTGAATATATCGACAGGATATATTCAAATCGACATATCGACAGGATATAGGACACTGTTAACATTGGCAAGATCCAAATCTAAACATTAAACGAAATATAATTAATGGATTTCTGTCAGCCAGAAACAATCCTTACTCAGAGCCATCTTACAGAGTACACAACTGCAAATAAGCAGGTGATATGTTTTTTCCTTAAATTTTTTCAAAGGAAGAAACCATGCAGGATTTAAAAAATCTGACAAGACTTTCCCCTCACAAGTATGCACAATATGGCAAAATAAAAATACAAACAACATAACACACATAGGGGCTGTCCATGAAAAACCATGCAGGGTGTTCTAGAAGTGAGCTGGGAGAAGGGAAGGGAATGGGGATGTCAAATTCTTGCAGAATCCCTGAAGAACAAACATTCCAAGAAAATAAGAAGACCTATTCCTTTCAGCAGAAGGAATTTTGAAGAATCCAGAGTCCAAGGTAGGTTTGTCACTTTCCTCTATCCCGAAGTGAGAAGTTACATGTATCATGTTCTGTAAAACATGGGACAGGTGGTAGCCATAGTCCAAGGGGGGATGATCCACTTCAATGAAGGGAGTGAGGTGTCATAATTAAAGCAGAGGCTCAGATAGGTCTAGAAAGCATGAAACTGAACTGGCCTGGGCCAGATCAGAGTCATTGGAGAAGTTGTCTTTTTCCCATTTCTTCGCCATGCCTCACACTCCTCTACATGAAACATCATGGACACATGTGCAAATGTGGTATTACTCCTTCCTTGGTTGAACAAGAAGGAGCTTAACACTTCTCTCTCCCAAGTGTACACTTCTTTGATACGATAGTGACAATGAATGCAGGTTTTCTTTTAATTTTCCATTTCTTGACAATTTCTTGAGAATTCATGAACCTCTGGAAAAAATTTGTTTAGCAAGTGCTTCCATTTTCTATTTTCATCAAACATTCACTGCGCAAATAGGAATACATTTCCAACATGTCCCAATACTTAATCCAAATCCAAGTGTTTTGATGAACTTTTTTTGATGAATGACTGAGTACCAACACAGACAGATCATCTCAAGTTTTTTTTTTTCCAATTTTCCCTAGGTTTACATAGGAGAACAAGGCAGACAAAGTCTATTAACACACAAGGAACTGGAGCCCCCTGTCCATTTTCAATTTCAAATTTATTTTTGAACAATTGCTTATAATAGCCTTGCTTTGGCAAAACCCATTTCAATGAAATTTCAAAAGTCTGCTGGAAACATAACTTATGCATAGTGAATGTTTTGCAAAAGTAGCTCCAGTTAGAGCAGAGACGTGTTGGTCTAAAGTTGGACTTTTTTTTTTTACCAAACCCAGTACATAAAGGATCTTTCACTCTTCATCATGCACCAAACAATGTATTTGAGGAGGGCAAGTTGAAGTGCACATCATGAACATAGAAACCTTGAGACAGGGGTCAAATAGAAAGATCATTCACTCTCACTGCCATCTGTAGAAGGTACTTCAAAATCACAGCCAAGATAAGAGGTTTCTATTGCTCCTGATGAAGACAGCCTTGCATCTGCAGTTGATATCACCTGATTTAGATCTGGAAGACCTGGAAGAACAAGATTTGAAATGAGTCCTTATTTAATGGAAAAATTTTATACAACAGAGGGCATATTATTAGGTTTAGGATTCCTTCATGAGGAAATACATTGGCAAACAGGATTTCCTTGCCTTTAGAAACTATTTTGGTACTTTTTTCCTTCACTTGGAACTTGTGTCTGAAAAGCTCTTTTGTGATTCTGCATGCAAAATCTCCATTGCACAGAGTGCGATGGAGAGGACACACTCGAGCACAAAGGAATAGAAGCGGAGTTTGGCAGGTCTTGATAAGCAGGAGGGATGGTGCTTGAGTGTAACCTTCATTCCACTACCAGCAGGAGCTCTTGTCCATTCTCAATGTCTAACTTCTTTTAAATAATTGCTGATAATATTGCTTTGCCTCAACAAATTCTGATGAAATTTGATATTTCAGTTGGAAACATATTCATATATGCAAAGGGAAAGTTTCATGAAAATAGTTCTATTGTGAGGGGAGATCTTTGGGTTGAAAGTCGTTGGTCTTTTATTTTTTTGCTTTTTTTTTTGTATATTGTTAATTGCTAGGTGAATGACATCCAGAGTAAACTCAACAGTCCTATACAGCTTCTGCCTTTCATCTCTCCTTTGGGGACAATGTGAACACTGCTCCACTGAACATTTCAAATGGACTTCTCTCTCAAGAGAGAGTTCTGCAGTATTCTTTATGAAAAAAAATTAATGGCTTAACCCTTATCCAGGCAAGGGGAGTCCATTGGACTCCCCAGGGTATATTTCATTTCATTACTCTCTGCAAATTTTTCGAAATATTCTTCAAATTTGATATGGGTTTCATAGACAGTCATCCATAGATTCAGAAACGAACTTTTAAAGTTTGGATTTGCTTTTAAGGAAAAAAATTCTAAAAATGTTTGGCCTTGCCCGTTTGTGTCACAAAAATACTTTGCCCGGATAAGGGTTAAACATAATACACTGGAATGCATCATGATTAGGACAATATATTGCAGTGCCACACTTGCCCTTCCAAATAGCAATTCAAAGGCCGAATAAGACTATTCAATAAGAAAGGAGGGAGGAATGGGCTCATGCAAGTGAACCGAGCCTGGCTAATTGCAACTCAAGGCACCCTCTATGGTTGCACTACTCTGGTGTACATTTCAGTGTGAAGACTTTCACATAAAAACAAAAACACCCACATATGACACAGTACAGAAGCAACTTAGATCTGCACTGAATTTCCCAAAATATGATATGTGAAAGATAGAAATAGGCTCAATGAGGCCTCAACAAATCAGGTTTAGGACTAAGAGAAGAATCTTACAGGTCTGTATCCTGGAATATGCATGGAGGTGATGCTTGCGGATGACATGGATCCTTGGATACTCCACAATTGTTTTCCCTCTAAGGTTGGCCCTTAGGGATAAACTGGGGTCCAATTCATGATAACTACAAGAGAAATTATTCAAATATGGTAGTAAAGTGGCGTGTAAGCTAAGCATAATGAAAGTGTCAAGGAAAAGAGCCAGAAAAAGGCATTTTCTTTCATATACTACAGCTATCTGGCTGTACAAATCGCCTTATACCCATCAAGATGTATGTTTCTTCACATGGGAATATGCTCCATATGTCCAACTATCATTTTCCAATAAAATCCAAGAATATTTATTTCGGATACTCAAAAAAAAAAGTTTCACCCATCCTTTCTCACCCTTTTGCAACTGTCCTGCTTTCTTTACCTTCTATTGTCTTTTCTTTTTTCCTTCCCAGCAATGAGGTTTCTTGTCTTCTGCTTTTCAGGACTTTCTCACAGAGGATAAATGTTAGTCATGGCTATGGAGCAGATTCTTATGCAAATGCATATTTTTTTACAATGTCATTGGGTAACACAACCTAGATAGGATTTATAACTCAGAGAGACAACCATTAGTGCCATTTTAAAATACAAATACTTATTTTGACATATCCATGCAATCATGCATATTTCAGCATTTATTAGCACATAAAAATCCAGTTCCTAGACATGGCACACTTGTCCTGTTTAGTCAGGCTTGCCATTGCCTGGCAATGAGCAATAGGCCTACCAAGTAAGTACTGATATCTCTTCCAAGAAAAAAAAATTTTTGTTGTTACAAACTGGATGTAAATGATGAATTGAAGCATTTCATATTTTCTATATGTCAATTCAAGTCAATACAGTAACCCCATAACTGTTCCAGAACTTTAAAGTTATTAAACCAATATGATGATCATAAATATGTCTAAATCCGCATGCATGCATTAAGCATCAGCTCTTTAGCAAGATGTTTCACTAAAAACTCTCTTCTGATGATAAAATGCACATTACTTTATCATTTTGTGGAAAAAGCAATTTAACCTGTTGAAAACGACTTGGGGAACTGGTGGACATACTAATCAGTGGCCCAGGGTGCCTTAAACTTCGAGAATTTTATGTAAAGCATTACTTTTTCAGCTCTAAAATTCACAACTCAGTGAAAACCCTAATTCTAGCACAATTGAGTCGCCATCTACCGACAGTAGCAATAACTAAATGAGGGAGAGGAGGATTGCATAAGAAATGCATGGAGGGTTTTTTTTTCCGTTTATCCTCAGAGTCATGACCGAGAAAGCAGCATATGAGTAGAAACGGCCCAGAAAATGCTGTGCATTTGAATTCATCCATCATTCAAGAATGCAAGACCTAGAGTTTCAAGGGAAAGCTCAAATTTTTGGAGAAAGAATAACTGCGGCATCTAATCTTCCTTAGCACTCACGCAGCAGTATTCTTCTCGGGGCCTTCAGCCTCAAGGAGCAATGCTATATTTGGATGACCAGCAGATCGATAGAACAGCATCTGATTCTCAGCTCCCCCTTCTCCATCGTCTGCATCTATATACTTCGACACTGCCTCTGCCAATCGCATTCTTTCAGGCACACTGCAATTGAAAAAAAAAACCAAAAACATGGTGGTAACAGGATTATCAGTGACAATATCAAGAATTCACGTCTATCAAAAAAGAAGAGGTCCAAAAAATTAGGTGGCTCAAATGCAACGCAAGAGATGATAACATTTCCCAGTAAGTAAAATGAGCAATATGAAACAATTTTTTAAAAACAATTTAAGCAAGCAGGCAATCAGTCCAACATAATGCGATGAGTCATTAATGAGGTCAATGGTTCAAAACTAAGACTGAACAGATGGCGGTTTTTGACCAATGGCCGGTTATTACCGTACGAACATCGGTTGGAGCCAGTGCCGATAATGGCAAATTGGCTTCCTCTCCCGGAGGGGGGGGGGGGAGAGAGAGACCAACTATTATTAACTATGTCATCACCTTTTTCTGGCCAGCTTTTAAAACGCACATTTTTTTCGTCAATGAGGCATTTGAGGGCATCTAGAAGAATTCTGCACATTGGCCATATCCGGTATATATTAATACAAGCTGCTCATAGAGAGAAACGAGGATTTGGAACTTCGTTTCTGTGTCTGACAACAAGCGGATGAGTTGTGGCTTTCAAATGATCGCCTGACAACGTGTCCATCCAACGAATAGATGTGAAAATGAAGTAATTCCGTGGCGGATGTGTTGGTTCTCGGCGACGGGATGCCGCTTCAGATCCGAGACTGTTCTTTTGACTCAACTGAAGCTGATGTACATTTACGTCGTCTTGCCTAAATTTGCCCCGATTGGACGGCACCGCGCGAGTCATACTGTCTCAATCGGAACGGCTGGAAATAAATGGAAAAGCGCTATGGAATCGCAAGAAACAGGCCTTTCCAGAAGAGTAGTCGCGCTCCGACCGACAATATTTGTGACATTTTCAATCGACTTCATTGGCAGAAAAAGTACACGTTAATAAATTCATGGCACCGGATCCCCGTACCGGTTTTTGCGCAGGGGGAGGTCGGAAGCACCAGTAAGTTTCATAGTACTTTTCACTTGACAGACAACTCGTACATGGTAAGTTTCTAATGCATGAGGGTCTGTTTTAGTTAGGTGAAAGTAGTGACTCGAGTGAAAATCACTGTCTTGGAAAATAAACGGAAGCATGAAAGGATGCCCAATGGGATCATATAAGGAAGTCCTGCGCAAAGAATGGCAGTCACGCACTCTTACACTCACACAAGTATCGATTTATTTTTAATTTTTATTTTTTTCCGAATGAACGCAAGAAACGTATCACCTCCGAAAGAAAACGCAAATCCTAGGCCCTAGGTCTACATACGCCTGGAAAAGAGTGGAAATCTGGCAGTATGGCCGATGCCAACACTCGATTCGACCCAAGTGTCAATTGCTAGGAGAGATTTCTTCGTCGGTTTATGTATAGATTTCAGTTTCTTGGAAGAGGCCAAGATCAGTCTAAGCAAGAGTTTTCTTGGAACCGACAGAATCCGGCGGCATGCCGGATTCCATCATTAGACTCAGGTCTCAGGCGCTGAGAGACTTTCAATCATGCCGATATTTTTGCAAGAGGCCGGAAGCACGTGTTCCTTTTCTCGGAAAGGAGACTAGGGAGTCCAGTGCCAGACCGAATCCACACGCACACATCTTCATCTTTTTTTTTTGGAGCGGAAGTTGGCACCGGTATCGTGAAAACATGTCGATGGTGTAGATGATGCCGTATCGGCGGCCAATGCCAGCGGTAGAGCTCACATATTGAGCACACCACACAAGACCCGCTAACGAATATGAATATATTGTTACGGAGGGGAAATGGGGAGACGGACGACGGAAGGCATGAGAGGACGAAAGAAGCCAAGGAACGGCCGGGAATTGAACCCGGGCCTCCTGATTGCCGGTCAGGTGTGCTACCACTACACCACCGAACCCAGGACATTCAGTCGTGCCTCTCGATGCCATCCTCATCCGTCACAATATAATTTATTTTTGCAAGAAACCTAGCCCTAAAACTAGAGGGCAGAAAGTGATCAGCAAAATACACTACTAACAAAAAGTTAAAGGCTCACTTTTCACATTTTTGTAGCTTGTTAATGGATGGGCCAAAATCCATTTAACCTTAGTATGTATGTGGGCAGACCACTGCAATGACTCATTAAAAGTTGATGCAATTGAACCCTTTGTTTACATTACAAATTTCATGATGGTCGGTGTAACTTCGTTGACGCCTGTTATTTTTTTTTAAAGTGATCCTTCAAATTTTTTTTTTTAGCAGTGTATTTAGCACCAACATTTTTCCCTGGATTTGCTGAAAGTCTCTGATACCATTAGGATATTTTGCACGAGAGGTTGGTTGGGAAGATGGTATCAAGGTTTATTGAACCCAGAAGGTAGTTCCAGGCTTAAAAACAGAAAGTTTCGCCTCCTCGGAAATGTCATATTTGGCAACCACAGTCCTCCAGAGTTCCCGTATGGCCCACCAATCGAGTACCAGATCTCGAGGTACGTAAGCTTCCCTACCTTTTCCAGAGGAGTCCCTCTAATACGTAAGGCGCACCGGATAAGACTTCTCGAGAAAACCATAACATCATAACATGCATTTTGGAGACGCTCAATTTCATTCTAGCCGCAGTAAATTCCGAGTCGAACCAGTCTAGCAGGCACTGCAGAGACTGTCGAGGTTGGGCCAAAAGGACGGCATCATCGGCAAAGATAAGTATCTTTACTTCGACACCACCGATGCAGAACCCGTCGAGGCCCAGGCTACGCCTACATATCCTATCCATGTACAAACGGAACAGGAAAGGAGAGCACCCTTCGAGAAATCCGCACTCCTCATCTTCGATGACTTCTCTAATGACTGCACGAGATCTCTTTACGAGCACCTTAGCAGAGACCTCACCAGGTTTGCTGAGGTGAGTAATTCCACGGGAGCTGGTGCACTCCCTCGAGTCCCCCTTCTTAAAAACAGGATCCACCACACCGATCTGCCAATTCATCGTTGTCGTCCCAGAGTACCATGCGGTTTGACATACCCTATGAAACCACAAGCACCTATTGCTTTCAGCGTCCCTGCCCGGATTTTGTCTACGTTAGGAGACATTCCGTTCTTCAAGCTTGCCACAGCTTCTTGAATTTCCTCTATGGTGAGACTATTCTCCACGTAGACAGGCACTGCGTAGAGTACATCCGAGTCCTTCATGGATGGGTTTAAGAGCTCCTCAAAGTGTTCCTTTCACCTTCCAAGGATTTCCGCTTCGGCAGCCAACATTTTCCCATTTAGGTCTTTCACGATCCGGAGAATATGTTGGCTGCCTTGCCCGAGCCTTCGAATGGTTTGCCAGAACTCGTTAACAGCGTTGTAGTCGTGTTTCTTCGTTTCTTCGCCTAATTTTTTACTTGCCTCCTGTTTCTCTTCGGTCACGGCTCAAGCAGCTGTTCTTCGCGCCTCTTTTTCACGTGCCCTCGAAGGATCCAACCTACTGGACGTATAAACTTATGCTACTAAGGCTGCCTTCTTGGCAGCAACAGCCAGCCGTACCTCTGGTGTCTAGTAAGGAGTCCACTTGGCGAAACTACGTGCCACTCCGATTCGCTTTTAACAACCAATTTCACAGTTGCAGAAAATTTAATCGTTAATTTTAAAATTACTCCGTGCAACTTGCAACTTACACAAAGTAACCTTTTAAATTAATAATCTTTTCTATGTTAAGGTATTATGGACAGCCTCTTAAAATACAGCGGCTGGAACATTGAGTGAGTTCGGGATGTTACTCCTCATCTCTTTCTCCCTTCTTCCTGGGCTTTTGCCAATTGAATCCCTCAACACTAAATGGTCCAGATTGACCCACTAGGGCAGGGGCTTTGATATGCATAGGTTGCGTGGATAACCTGGATTGGTGAGTGAATGGATGGACATGCCCATTCTCATGTCTAGGCTAAATAAGCTAGCCCACAAGGGTATGAAGAAACCAATTGGCATTCAATTGGATTCTTTGAATACATGCAAGAGTGAAAAATATGTAAAAAAATTATAGTTTAAAATCGAAAAAAAAACAATACCTTGTAGAATGAATTTCAACCTACAGCCTATTCAACCTACATCCATGGTCCATTGAAAAGAATTGATCCAACAAGAACTTACCTTTCATCAGTGAAGACAGTAAGGGAGTCAGCACAGGAGGCATTGTCAAAGCACCATTCAACATGCCAGGTGATTTCAGGTTCTCTTGCCCCATTGTCAGGATTTTTGAAGAACCTGCACCTGGTTTTATTGATACGTCGTCGCTCAAATCCCATTGGGAGAAAGCGAAGGTTAGTGCCCCGCTTTCGAGCTGCCCACCGCAGATTCTCCAGCCACTGTGAAAGGAATCCGGCCTTTGTGCAGATTGTACAAGAGTTGCTGTCACTAGCAATGAAATGTAGGAAGAATGCCTACATGTGGTAAAGAATGGATGTTATATTGATTCGGATAGATTCTTGGCACCAGGCCTCTGGTGCTTCGCTGAATGCCATCAACAACTCGTCCTCCATCCTCCAGGAATGTGAAGTCTGCTCAAAACAGAGATGACAAGTAAATAGAACATTTCCTGGGGTTTCTTATTGGCTAAATCAGCTCAATTGCTAAGAAGACAATATATTCATCCAATAACAATTCTAACATATTTGTATAACCATCAACAAGTAATGAAAATTCTATTGTCACAAGTTTCGAAGTATAGACCATAGGATTTACAAAAATAATATTAAAGGTGATATGAATATATTGTAAAATTCTTGCAGGCCTTGAAACAAATCATGCATAATATACAACATACCACTGAAAAGTTGTGAATCATCAAATTTGGATAGACGGACAAATTTTGTTTTATCCCTTATGCCAGTGCATCCTGTTTGTATTTTGTGCTCCCTGACACAGTCCAGGGAACAGGAATGGATCAAACAAGCAGGGCATTTGTAGCGGCCTTCTGCTTTCTTGCACACATTGCATTCATCCAATGGCATGTCTTCCTTGCAAAGTTTACTGGGTTCCAGCATAGATACTGCAGGAGCAACCTGAGAATGAAGATTTTAATACACAAGCTTCTACAGGAAATACTACAGTATGCCTATGTCAAACTTTAGGTTTAATTTCTCTGTGCAAAGTTTCCATTTAAAAAAGGGAGAAGCATAATTTTCCCTAAAATTTAAAAATCCTTTGGGAGAAAATTTCCTTGAATAAAACTTGCAGTATTGTACATGACCTCCACCACATACACTTCTTTCATTGATAGGGGGGGATCAAGGGATATTAAGTTAAAGAAGGCATCTTACCTCTTCTTAAAGCTATTGATAAAAGGGGCAGCCACAATTGACTGTTGACAGGCCTAACATAAAGCGGAATTCTTTTCATTGATTAAACCATGTTTAAAAAAAAAATACAATTAGTTCTAAGTTAGTAGTCAGTCAGGCTTACAAATGGCTCACACGCACGGATCGTCAGGACTGCAGATACAGATACTTGACGGAACTCAAGAATCTGGACCACGTGCTACTGGTTTCTCACAACGGATGCCGGATACAAGCACTATGAATAAGAAGTTTCTTTTCCTTCCGTGTAAAAATCGTCATTCTAACTTCGTTGATTATTTGAAATTTACATAGAAGTACCTTAACTGCGACTTTCACTGAATCAGGGTTATTAGATGGAGATGCATCTTCATCTTGTGGTCCTGATTCATGAAAACAAATATGTCCGCGCTCTGATGGTCTCTTCTAGATGAATTAGCTGGGTGAAAATGCGGTCTCCTAGTTGGTAAGTCTTTCTGCAATCGTCATTTATCATTTTTGTATTGAATGTAGGCCTGCTTCAGATGGGTTCAGACTGATTTATTCATGGGTATCGTGAAAGGGTGCATTGTGCCTAACCCGATATTGTTTTTGGAATTCACCTAAATCTAGACCTACTTTTGGATTCTGTTAAGGCGGACATAAAACTATTTTCGATTGATTGCATCCCCCTACTATGGCAGAAGTTTGGATGACTTCACTTCAGTCACAGAATCACACATGGGCAGATATCGCTCGAGGTAGCAGATGTCGCTCAGTTGAATGACATGTAGCGCCGTTTAGAAGGGGAGAGGTTGCAATCAAACGAAAATCACTCTATTTCTTTATCTAGCTTTACTGAAAGTGAGGGAATGTGTCTTTGACAAATAAGCCTAGTTTTATGTTTCTAAGCAGAAACTCAAAGTTTAGAGTTAACTTTGATTCATTTACCATGAATATAGTATTAAATAGTTGAGAGTTGCTGCCCTCCACTTGTAGACTAGTGACAAACTGGAAGGCATGGAAAGAAGAGTAAGAAGTTGCTTTCATAGGAAAAAATTAGTAATTTCTGGGCAAGTAATTGCCTTTTTCTTTGGCAAGGCCTATGAAATATGAAGAATGCCAAAGATTGGTCTCTGAAGTGGAGGATGCCCTGAGCAAGAGGGACCAATACCCTCAGAACGCACAGCAATACTCTGCAAATGCAGCTGCTGCAAGAAGGACCTTGATGAAGTTGCAACCCATGCTTGTTCATTCATTGGAAGAGACTGCAAAGGAACATTCTTCTTTTCTTATGTGAGTGCGGTGTTAGCTGGCTACAGAAACTTCTTGAAAATCTTTAAGCTAATCATACCTCCATCTGCTAGCTCTCGTATGGAACGTGACAGAAGAGAAGAACTCATCCATGCATTGCAGAGACGGACTGAACTGCTACAGAATGAGTTGCAGATGCCATCTACACAAGGTGCATCTGCATTCAGCTCAGGGTGAGAGGGACATTCATTATCATAATGCATGCTATGCTCTATATCTTATGCATTGACTTATACTGTTGGCCCATGAGATTTCAGGATTCTAACATTTCGAATTTTTTAAATTTCTAAAATGCTTCAAATAGTGACAGGATATAGAATGTTGCATTTAGCCTTAATAGAATACACTTGTTTTTTTACATATTGTTTCCAGCAGTCTAATTTATTTTTTTCATTTATTCACTTTCTCTATGTACCTTCCAGGCCCTCTTCCTCTACATCCAAGGAAGAACTTTTCAGAACAAGTTCTGCATCTCAGGTTTATGGTCACAATCAAAGTGAATCTTCCTTTGATCATCGAGCTACCTCTTTCAATGACCCACAGTTTCAGCGACAGCAGCAACAGAGGCTCCTTCAAGGTAGGTCTCAGGTGAAAATAAAACTTCAGAATTCTTGCCAAAGGTTCAAATGAAAAGGTTCTGCATCCAGGTTACCAGAGTGGATAGCTACTGTTTGGGAAGACAAGTCACTGTGGTAAGAAAAAGAAAGTAAGAGGAGGAAAAAGGAAATGAGAGTTAATAGAAGTACAAGAAGAGATGAAAGGATTTAATCTGCAATGGTTAAAGACAACCAGGTACCAAGGAAGGTGGGAGGGAGGCATCATTACTGAAGTCATTGGGATTACTCATCAGTATAGCAGGAAAATCAATGACATTGAATTGGAATGTAATTTTTTTCCTAAGGCAAGCAAACATGTGTAGCATTTATGCAACCTTTGTGTGTCCTTTTAATGTGTACACTTGTACCTTTCTGCAGTCCAGCTTTGATATTAAAGAAGTGCATGTCCTCTGTCACAAGTATTAACCTTAGCCCACCATAGTGCATATGATCTCATCATCGCTGCTTTGGGTCCATATGGATCCTGAGTTGCTGCTGCTCTTTCACTCTTCCATTACAGTCACATAAAATAGGTAACAAGAATGAATATGATATTGTATTGGAAGCAGATGACTGAGTAGGTCTCATTGAAGGAATTGCAAGGAAAGGGATTTCTCATTGAAGTATGGTACATCATTGACCCTTTTGGGCTTCATTCATTGGGTTTGTGTTTCATTTTTCAATACTTTTAAGAACCTGGCTTTGGTGGTTAAATAACAAGTTCATTGACTCACCTCACACTGGGATAGCTTGGCTGTATTTGCATGGAAATAATCATTGTACCTTTCTGTGATTAGAAAGCAATTAAGAACACAATTATGAATTTGAACAGGGCATTGAAAGCTCTATCAAGCTATTGTTAAATTATGCAAATTTTTAGGGGGAAAAGTGAAAATTTTGCATTGCTATATCTATATTGCTATTTCAAATAGCTATCAAAAAGGTGAATTAAATTCCAACTGGATCTGACCATAGCAGTGACAGATAAATAAATAAATGAATTTCAAAAATGCATAACTTATTGTAAAGAGGTGGATGTCATAAAAAGAAGACAAGGATGTTGATAGTTTGACTCCTGCTTTTCCTTTATTGCACTGTTTGTTGAATCTCTTGCATGATTTTCCACATATAGTGGGTCTCTCTGATTTTACTTTATGACTCTAATCTATGATAGAAGCATGGTTTTTGTGCACAAACAGGAAGATTTTGCAGAACACTCATTTTCTGTCAAAACATTTTCAGATATGTCTGTTTATAGACCTGGACAGGGAGGGGAGGGAGATCTGGGTGTGACTTGTGAAATCCTGGCCTTTATTCTGCAAGTCCCCCTGTGATGAAAAATGAGTGATCTATGAAATCTCTCTCTTTGTGGAAAAGCTATGCCTTGTACTCATATACATATGAGTGAAGTCAAAATGACAAAGTCAACATCCTCTTTGAAGAGCAAGATGAAGGACTGGACATGCTGGCCGAGAGCATTCGAAGACAAAAGAATCTTGCCCAGGCCATCAATGTTGAGGCAACCTCTCAGACTGGTCTGTATGAATTTGGTTTTCCCTATTTTAATGTTGAACCAATAGTAAAGACCAGTACTGTTGCATATACATAGAGATCCTTGATGACCTGGCAAGGGGCATGGAGCAAACCCATGATCGTATTGTCCGGGAAACAGGTGAGGTGAAGGTGATCACTCGGAAAACTGGAACCTGCTGTGAGTTCTCCAGCACTTTTTGAATTACTATTAATAATTTATGGTTGCTGTCAGTTTGATTGTGTCATCTTCTCAATGCTCAGGGTACTGGGTGGCGATATTTGCTCTTCTCATTGCGATCATCATCGTCCTCTCTGTGCCAGGATGAAGTTTTTATGCTTGAAGATGCTTTTGAATGCTTCTATCATGCTATGTGGACTTTCCACTGTGATTTAAAATATATTTTGCGAGAAGTTATAAAATACACATTCTACTTGCCTGCTGTTTCATTTAAAACTTCCTGAATTAAATATTTTTTAGTCTGAGCCCAGGCCTTACTGTTCTGTGAAGATCTCCAATGGTCATGGAATAAACATCCCATCCTACAAATTATTGCCAAGCAGTCAGAATACTAGCAGTGGAATTTTTTCTGACTGTTGCAGAATGAGTTGTTTGCCTTGCTTGAGTTTTTGATTTTTGATTCCTGTTGGTTCAGTGGTAATTCAAGCCATGTAGAACATATGGTACACCTTATTGGGCACAACATACATCACATGGTGTGTTGCATGCTTGTACTGTATTACAACAAAGTTGTATTTCACACATCCAAGAGGAAGTAATGAACTGAGATTTTTTTTTCATAGCAGTTGGAGTATTTTTACCAATGTTAATCTTAGAGATGGGAAATTCCTAGAAAATACCTCTATGGAGTACACAGTTTCCCAGAACTTACTTATCTTAAAAGAAAAAGGTATTTTTCAAGCTTCTGCAAATTGAGGATGTGTACAATAATGGGAAGCCACCTTTTTTTTGCTTTGAAATAAGGCATGTCTTGCATCATCTAGTTAGATATTATGTCCTTTCTTCACCTTTGTGTTTGTGGTTTTTCTATACCTGATAGAATAACATTTAAAGTCGCTAATTAAAATTTCAGAGCCTATACTCTTCAATTCCACATGATTCATGTCATGTCCTATGCTACAATGAAACATTAATTGCAAGTGCTTGAAATATAAAGTGAGCTATGAATATGAAGACATGTTTAATTAATTGGCATGAAGAGGTTTTACATGATACTATAATTTGCACAGCAGCAGCTTATAACTTGATGCTCTGCAGGTGGTCTTGTGTGGTAAGAGTAGAAAGGAGATTTCTGACAAAGAATCACTGCAAAATGTAAATCATTCCCATATATTTGCATCACTCGATGTTATGTACTGTCGTAAATTAAGCAAACAGATACTTGAAAAGTGATTCCCACTCAGACTAAATTATTTTAAATACAGAATTTCTTTCACGAATAGATGAATTATTTATAAAACTCAAGCATGTCTTCAAATGGAAAAATTGCCAGGTACGGGCAACTTTCGTTGTGTTGAATGAAGGAAGTCTTCCTTTCGGAAGAGGAGGAGAGAGTTCGAAATTTTCTGGAAATTATGGTCTTATTTTGCAAATTATTCCATTCAGGTCTTCTTGTGCCGATTTGCTTCCTCTTGGATTCGTCATTCTTAGATACAGAATCCATGTATTGGTGAAATCAATGCATTTTAGGAGACAGAAAATATGCGGTATGGATTAGGGGCAATTTTCTTATCGAGATTGGTCAATATTTTCATTGTATCAACACCCCCTCAGGCTGATAGACCGTTGAGCGCTGGCCGAGACCCTCTCTTTTTGTGCTTTCTCAAAATCAGGCTATCAACGATGACAGGTATTTTGTGTTCCTCTGACCAATGAAGTAGATACTGGGAAACCTTTACTGATCCCATTAGATAATTCGTCCCATGAAACACTCACATATCATTACCATTCCATGAAAACTTGGAGTGCCTGACATTCCAGCTACTTCAGTTTCCTCTGAAACGAGCCAGGTGAAATTCTCTCTTGAAATAACTTCGAGTAGAATCAACACGCGTACTGAAACTAAAGAAAACGTATCCCAATATTTGCTTTTGCAAGTTCTGGACATTGACATAGCCGGTAGGAATAGAATAGAAGGAACGGTCAACAAAACTTGAGCGTTCGCGGGACAAAATGACTCTCAGACCAGCATGGGAACGACAGAATGGGGAATGATTTAAGAAAATTGGGAATTTTCTACTTATGTCGCCAATGTTTTTCGTGGCATTTGAGACTAGAACGTTACAAAAAAATTAATTAAACGTATATCAATCAAAAGCCTACGTATAGAATGTACAAGCTGCAATTTATACTACTCTGCAAAGTTCGTATCTCACTCGAAAAAAATTCACGAAATTTTCACAAATCTTAGGAATACGGCACTTAAGCTAAAGCTTGTTACAAAAGGTAGTTGCTGCTTCCCAGATCATCTTTGAAATAATTTCGATCGGTTGCACTCCAACCCATCCACATTGCCTTTGCTGCACGCACTACTACACGCCATTTGTATTTTACAAACCTTTGAAAATGTGTCTCCAAATGAAGACAACGCCATGGAAAGGGTTAAATAGCACTTTCCACGCCGAATGAGACGTCAGCGGGACGAGTCCGACGGTGCTTCCTTCGTGGAAATCGTTCCAGCAGCTTTTGTGCTGGGTCGGAGAGAGTGATGCAAAGTCACTTTACTTTCCACAAGGATTTGAGATCGAACGATCCCCTTCGGTCTCGTCACCTCCGTTTGCTCTCATACAGGCAGTCGACGAAAGGCAAGAAGCTGGCTCGCGTCATTTATGGCCACACCGAATATCTTTTTGCATGGATTTCGTAACCGTGTGTGATATTTGACGAGGCTGAGCCCCAAGAGAAGCACAAGTCTTTTCAGGAATTTGGAGAGTGATTCAGGAAGGAGTCTATGCGTCCATTCCATCTAAGTAAGACGAAGAAAAGGCAGATATCGATGGATGTTTGGTGACGTGGTTGCTCTCATTCTCTGGTGTTTCGCTCGAGATCAAAGGCGAAGATCAACGTCCGTGGGATTGTTTTGTTGTCGCACAAGAGAACACGATCCTCGTAAGACAGTTCTCCTTTTGACAGACGATACATCACCATTCCGACATCATCGAGTGTGACGACTGGCGTGACTTCTTGCTTCTGTATGCATTTGTATATGGTTGCTTCTGAGGCCCCGTAGGACGGAATCTTTGAGACCCCCAGATGCTTCTGACAAACCGTTGACTTATTTCGGGATTCGAATGTAGCCCCACGGAAATGGACCGGTCTGTAACTGCTGCACCTCTATGGGGTCGCGAATGAAGTATTCCCATGCAATCGAAAATGATATCACCGCGTCATATTTAAATTCGAGGATGTCCGTATCGGAACATCATACGTGAAGATGATCGGTGCAGGCAGAGCGTGACTACGAAGTCCCTTCCGCGGTATTCGACACCGGCATGCTCACACAACTCCAAGTGGAGAGACGAAACTCTGGGAGTAGATAGAACGAACCACGAGGAAGGAGACTGGCATGAACCCCAACTGCTGGACCGCGAGTGCTGAACCAGATCTCTCTCGTGCGAGACGGTGCCCCATCTCTCAGCGCCAATCCAGTGAAGAATCTATTATGGAGAAACTTCTGCGACGGTCATCAGCAGGCGATTCTCAGATTTCCACACGGATGACAGGCGCGATACGACCCGACCTCGATCTTTCTGACTTTTGGCCGTGGGGCTCCGGAAGGCCAGGGTCTACCGACGACACACCCCCAGCACACTCGGCAAGTTAAAAGCATTCGATGGGAAGTCAAGACGATAACATCGGACATGCGTGCAGCTGTTGAGAATCTTGTTTGGTAACAATTGACATTTCAGCGGAGTGCTCTTCCAGCTCCTCTAATAAGATAGACAAACCAGAGGCTCCTGGAAGCCGTACAACCTCATGGCCGTCATTCAACGTTGCTTTGTTTTATCCGTATATTCCATGGAAACTGTCCCCCAAGTTTCGTCGACGTACGCCTTGTAGCGCGCACACACCAGTGTCAATCATAACGGATTCTATAACCACCCTGTATACAAAAACAGGACTTCGAAAGGAAAGGCTGCTTTAGCCCTTTAATTCCCTATTGATGCATGTGAGATCTCTAGATATGGTTCTTAACAGCCATCTGGGAATAGCGTGATGGAAGGTAGAGGTCACTGCATCAATTTTTCATCTCTTTCACATAGCGAATCATACGAGTAAAAATACCGAGATTTGTAGTGCTCTGGTCGATCAAGGAGGGGACATTTATACGTTTCGAGGACAACTGACAAAAAATCTTTTGATTCCAGGGATTGTCTTCTTCCGCGAAAACTCTCTTTCTTCGCAGATGTTGGCATCTTCTCTGTGTGTGACCATGCGTTCATCCTATTGCGTTCTTCTTATACTCTGTAAGAATAGAATAGAAATGAATTCGTCTGTTGGACGCCTAGTTCCCTGTATTTATTGCTTGGTTCTAAAACAGTTTAAATGTCGATAATATGGAACGGTGTATTCGAATGATGACATCCTCTAACAAATAAAAGTCAAATTGAGATTCTCTATCGAGAGTTAGAGCTATACTTTGAACCCATGGCAGGTGCGTGCATTTCCGCATTTCTAGACATTTTCTTTCATTCTAAATATGTCCTATATTTCTGAACGTCGCACTCGCTACTCCTCTTAATTTCGATGCTTGCAGAAAGAAAAAGGAAGGCGAGAGAAGATCGCCGACGTCTTTCTCGTTCTTCGGAGAGGGGAACCTTACACGACGGCAAGAAAGCAATCTGAAAAGCCTACGCTTTCCACGGTGTGGATGGGGCAAGCTCGTCGGGATTGCGACACGAGTGAAAGTATTCAGTCGCCCTCTCGGTTTTGCGTCCCGTGTACACATCTTAGTCCTGGTGGATCTAAATTACTCAAATTAGAAATAGTCTCACGATGATGATGGTATTGATTTTGCTCTTTTATGCCGGCAGACAGTCTGAAAATCGTCCTCAAAAACCTTCTGCCTCGTTTAGCCTTGAAGGAAACCTCTGAAGTCTGGTCAATGGAGGGAATTGAGATAAGCAGTTTTTGTCTCTTAGGTTTTGATGTGCCGATCTCCTTTCGAATGAAAAGTGTCTGCATCACCAGTATTACTTTCAAGCACGCCATTTTGATCATCTCGAGATGTGTTTCCATAAGAGCAGTCCCTTTTTGCTGTGAGATTTCCGTCCTCCTGTGGAATTTCCTCAGAGCAAGTGAGAGCACCGATCGGCAGAGAGAGAGAAACAGGAATTCCTTCCATGGGGCGTTCGTGCGTTAAGCAGACGTTCTCATCGCAGAGAGAGCCCAGCGATGAAAGGGCACGAAAGGGCAACCACCAAAGGCTTCTCACCGGTCTCACTCGACGGAGACGAAAGGAACTGGAATCCTTGCAACAGAAGCTTCTGCTTTTCGGCGATGCATCCAAACGAGGAGCTTTCAACGAGTCCGACATCTGGAGACGAAGGCGAGGGCGGAAACACTCTCGTATGGAAATGCCCGGAGAAAAGAATTTCTGAAGCTCAGCCAGAACCCCCTAGCACCGAGAGCAAACAAGAGACGGAAGATACTGCGGAGATCTCCTCGTGAATTCCACGATGGCAGTCGAAGAAGCTCAGTCTGCATGCCGAGTTTCACTGCATAAAGATGTTTCAAGATGTTCAGAGAGTACCTTTCGATGCATTGGGTGTTGGTTAAGTGTTAGGTAAGTCAAATAATGCACGCCCTGGCGTGGAGCCAACTCCAAGCATGCCATCTTTTCTGAGATAGGCTCAGTGCTTTATCGAAAGGATTTTTCAGAACTATTTGTTCCAGGAGCTCGATCCTTCAGCTCTCAGGACAGTTCAGCCGAACCTCATTTGTTGAAATTGGGTCTGTATATTTTCCTCTATGAGGGTGAACTGCACGGTCTGTCATTGAAAGATCCCGAGACAATAAATTACAGATCTGTGTTAGTGGTTTTAAAATCCTGGGTTGGTGCTTATGTGGCTCGTGAGTGTTGGGAAATCGTATTGAAAACTCACTAAGATTCGTATTGGAAGGGTTTCTTACAATTTAAAGCGAAAAAAAAATCTGGGAAGTCACGATTTCTGAATGAATTCCACGGTTCTCTAGTTCCCTTTCAAGGCACAAACATGCCCGTACAAATGCTACCGTGCAAGTCCGAGGAAGATCCTCACACACAGATATAATGCAGCTTATCCTCATCGATACCATCTTCGAGGAAAGGTCTCTGGGTTGTTTTTTTTTTTCATGTCGCTGGACCGGGTCCCCGGCTGAAATCTGATTTGACGGAAGGAAAGGGAAACTCGGCCGTCTGGCATTCCGCCCCGCGGGTGGAGGCGCATTCCCCCTTGCGACCTTCACGGGTCAGACCCGTGAAGAAGAAGTGGAAGCTTCTCAGTCCCGGTTTGCCCTTCGACCCGACGACATGCTCTACATCTGGTACGTCAGCTTCTAACAACTATTGTATTGTCACCCACTTTCAGAGGATTCATTTTAGGTGCATCTCTCCTCGTTTTTCACGACGGAAAGCGAGTAGAGCCGTTGCGACTTTGGAAGTCGACGTTCTGTACTATTTTCGGCACGTAATGGATGGTGTTCAGCCGGTTCTGCCATGAAGGATCGTTCTTGGCAACTTGTACCTGGGTCATTGTATTTCTTCTTACGTTTCGCCCCTTGGAAGGTAGAAAATGGATCATGAGCGAATTAAGTTCGTATAGGAGATCGGGTTTCGGGACGTACGGTAGGAACAGACATGGGCGCTATGTAGTTTGAGTATTTCAACCAGCATTAAATTGTAATGAAATCATCAACGTTTGGACGTGTTTGGCGCAGCGTTTGTCGACTCTGACGTTTGGCGCAGGCAACGAGTGACCAGCACATTCCAGTATCAGTCCTTGAGTGACTCTTTAAAATGTAAAAGTAGACTGGATCGGGAGAGACAATCCAGACTTTCTCGTTTTCCTTTAGGTTTCCTTTGGTTGGAAAATTAAAAGCTCCTGAAAGAAAAAAGCCCCATTCAACCATGGGGAAAGCCTGAGGCTTGAACATACAATATACAGTATAGTGAGACAGTTATGACCGAAGATCACGATCCACCCTCCGATGCCAAAACCTCGAGAAAAACTTGCCTGTTGACTTTTAATTCAATAGCCGTAATCCTCTCCCATGTGTAACGGAAACTGGAAGCTTCTCTCGTTCTGTAAGCTATTCGCAAACAAAACGCGGCGCAACAAATAACGTACTGCAAGCACCATCTTTCAATTGCGTCAAAATCCCAAAAAGTGACAGCATCACAACTTTGGCGATTTTTCGTTGATCCATGGCGTCACGTGACGTACGAGATGGAGTTCTCTGTACCTTCACATGCTGAGGTTCCTCTCATTGCCGAACATGAGTATGTGATCTAGGTCCTGTGCCCCGCTGTAAACCAGCTACATAATAAATAAGACCCACCTTTGGGACGTGCAGGAACGGTACGTTTGTTCTACGGTTTCGATTCGATTTATCTGAACGACACGGCTACTCCCAAATTTTGATTCACTCTAAATATTCCTCTTGTACGATCGCGGTGGTGGCATGGACAAGAGTACCAAGTCGTTTCATGAAGCAATGAGCCGCCTGTAAAATCCTCTTTCAGAGGATCTGGAAATCCTGGGATCACGACCACTATGTTATGGTTGCTTGTTGTTCCTGATTTTATATATATATTTGCCGTGGCTTGGGGTCCATGTCCAAATAGGTGGCATTTGAGCTGTCGCCTGTGTTTATTGCACACATTTTCTACAGTACACGGTTACCAAAAGAGAAGCACGCCCTGAGCGTCAGTTCAAGCTCCTCGTAATTCACAGCCATGTTGCCACCTTAGCCACGACTGTTATGTGCCACTAACCTTTTTTTTTCCCCTTTCCTTCTCCTCTGTTCCTTTTTTCGAGGCAATCCGTCTGGGCTAGCAAGGTCATCTATCGTTCTCGGAACGCCCTTCGCATTCTTGTTTCGACTGCGAAGGAGGAATGCTTGTAATATTATCGAAAGCGTGGGGTAGGTATGCCCTTTCTCTCGGGGACTGCAAGGCAGCGCAGCAATAGTCAAGCCACAGCCTTTATTGACGTAACGGGAAATGTTTATTTTTATTTACACAGAATGCGATTCCACTCGATAGTAGATCAAGTCCTCCGTTCTTCCAATCCTATCTTGCCAGCTCCTGTCGTATATACACATATATCCTCTCCATCTCTCCTGTCGGAGACCACGTCCAGTTCCCCCGCATCGGGAGATACATGCCGTCCTGCGAAACCCCTCAATCGACAGGGGCTTCAGGCTAAGACGCACTGATCTGATGTCGATGATGGATATTCGGAGGGGAGGGGAGGGGAGTACTTCGTACTCTCGTCCAGTTCCGACCGGGTCTGCGCCATTTTTGGCGACGTAGAGGAGAGAAAACTGTTCCGTGCTGAACCCTCCTTGTCTTGGATGTTTCTAGGCCAGATCTAGGTACAGCCTTGGATTATCCTGCCTTATCTAGAAGTACTCGTCACTGCCCAAGGTGTAGCTTGTTCTGCCGAGCGGGGTCACGGCCATCTGGCGAGCGTGAGATATAGGTGGCCCCTTTTGAGCAGTGTCAGGCGATCCCCTCCTAAGGTCATGCCGCCCGTTGTGACGTCACTGGCTGCTGGTGATTGTCACTCGTCCTTGTCTTCCACCTTTACCCTGTCCTTACTCATGAGATGACTCTCACGATGGTTTCTGCTACATTTCTTTACGGGCCTAAATTCAATTGTGGTGCACGAGCTGTCAAAGTATAGGTTATGTCGCGTTTGGGTTCTGACTAACTCGGACAACGGAAGTAAGCAGGCGAGGAATGAGAGGATGTTCCCTTCTAAGTGCCGAAAGTGACATTTCCATTCCAAAAGCTATAAAAAGAAAACGAAGGCGCAAGGGGTAAGGGAGAAGGCAGTAGGTGGACGTGCTTCCACTAAAACATTTATCTTTAAGAGGAATAAGTCCATCTCATTTGAACGCGAGACCTTGGCACGAGACCTCGCAATGGGCGAAAGTGTCTCCTCGCATTCCTAGCTCAACCTTCAATCTTGATTTCCGAGTCGAATTTGTAAATACAGGATGTCCCAAAAGGTGTGTAGGATTTTAATGGTACCTTGCCAAAAACGAATGAAGTTTAATGCGCTTGTGACAATTGAGTGTCGGGAGTCATTCCACAATTATAGAGGGATTGCCGGAACGCGTTACCCATGAAACGTGAATAATTTCAAGTTTCTCTCTGGCAACATTGACGTGTGCGGATCACAGTTGGCTCCATCACCTTGGTAAAGGTTTTCTGGGGGTCTACACCATCTCTCGCACTTTCCTCCACCAATTACCCTTGGCTTACTGCATAAGCACGCGCATTCCAGAGGGAAAGTCTGAAGACCTCGAGTGTCAGGTGATGTTACCAAAAAAGGGAATGAACGATTAGCCCAAGAAAAACGGTGCGCAAGTGTTATTATATGCCAGGCTCTATGCTGTGCCATTCTGTCGGAGTCATATCGGTGCTCTTCACAGGTCCTCATGGAAAAGCCATGGTGTTGTAGTGCAAGAAATTGTTGCCTGCGAGATGGACGTTTGGCAGAGATTTTTTTTTTATGTATAACGCGCAAATCTCTTCAACTGTGTCATACAGCTCCTAACACTCAGGATTGTCATTAACTTTAACTTTGCTTTATTTGGTACTTCACCGTTAAAATCCCTACACTACTTTTGTGACGCTCTGTATGAGGTTTGTTTCAGGGTGTTGGTTTTGAGGTGTTTGGTGTCGGGAGTGGATTCCCAGGCCGATTCCCCGCCTTTCGGACCCTCCAAATTCCCTTCGACCAATGAGAATTGCCGTTGCCTCCCAGCTGTTCTTTGCTCCCCCGTCATCTACGAATTGGAGAGACTGCAGACCTGCCGCCTTCCCCAAGGGAGTTCTGGACTCTGCTGTCCTTCGTTTTCAAGTTAGTATGCTCCTCCGCCTGTTTCCGCTTTAGCTTGACATTCTCAAGTGTCAGTTTGGCGGGAGGTTTATCTTTAAGTTCATGGGATGATTTATTGCAAATGTAAACATTCTCTTGCTTTTCGTTTATTTCGCTTGTGAACGCGAGTAAAGTTTTCAGTTTTACAGGTATATGTAAGCATGAGTAATTTTTTTCGTAATGAAATTCCTCGTTCGCGGTAAGAATAGGATTGAAATTGTGCTATGGAGTCATGATATTCTTTTCGTGTGCCGTGCAGATGGAGGAAAAGGAAGTGGGGCGTCGAAGGTGCCAGAATTGGTCCTGGATGAGCCGAGGGAAGACAAATTCCAAATCGCTCCCTTCTCGGCGATGGAAATTAATTCCGCCGTCTCGTCCGGCGTTCGCAGCCTTCGGGGCTACGAAGAAGTCGCCTCTCGTCTCATACGGGAGGGTCAGCATATTGCGGAGGGGACCCCGGCCTCGTATCATCAGGATTTCTCCAAAACCTCTCCGTACTCCCTCGAACTCGGCAAAAATGCCTACATGGCTCTCGAAATATCGAGGAAACTTGACGAAATGTATGTCGAAGCATTCCCTTCGCTAACATTACGTCAGCAAATCTCCCTAAACCCCTGATTGTGGAGATGATTTATGAGCAAATGCCCATAGACTTGCAAAAAAGCAGCCAATGGTGCTATGTTCGCACTATCATCGCTCATACCATCGTGATCAATTGGTGATGATGCGAACGTAATTTGAGCGTCGACACCTTAATTAAGTGCCCGGCTGTGACGGTGCAAATCCAGCAATCACCCCAATTATGAAGTCGATGGGAGAGGCTGCGAGAGATCCTTTTCTTCACCTGACGACTGATTCAAAATCTCAGCCTTCTTAACATGGGCACCGCGAGTCTTCTGTTGGTACTGGGTTCGGCTCGCTTACCTGTAACAGTACCCATAGGGCAATAGGGTGACCACCTGTTATTGATTTTCAGGGATGCTTGTATAGAAATTCTGGAGGATGAAAGAAAAGTAGTCTACATATGATGAGCACCAGAACGCAATGGAATCAGGCTATGTCTATTTTGGGTTACCGTACCGGTACAAACGGTCTCCTTTAGCGTTTCTGCGTATGAAACCTTCCTTTGAAGGCTCTTTTTGCGGGAGATCTCCACTCGTTCCTAATTCCCTGTAAGAGAATGTCCTCGCTCGATATTGCAGTGGTAGATTATCAACAGACAGCACAAGTTCATGAGACCTCTCCTGCTGCAAATGCAATACATATCATGAAGTTGTGACCATTTCATCGCTGACGGCTGAAGAATGCACTAGTGCGAATGCAAAAGGAGTGATTAGCCTTCACAATCAGTTGATAACGGTGATAAATTTGATGAGGCAATAGGCGTTTTGCTTAATAGGATAATAGGTCGACTGGAGATATTTTCTCTGCTCCTCAGGCACAATTTAACCCACGAGGAGATCTTCTACGGATTACCCCGTTCCTCTTTCCTGGCAAAGGCCATTGATGGTGTTTGCCCGGAGCAACCGGACTGCAGGGGACAGAACCCTCGCTACCGGACCGCAGATGGCGCCTGTAACAACCAACAAAATCCCGACTGGGGGATGTCCTGGACGACCTATAAACGGATTCTGCCGCCGGCCTACCGGGACGGTAAACTCTTCTCTTCCCTTGTATTTTCATAACGAATCCAGACTTAGCAGTCTGTCTCATCAAATTCTCCGTCAAAATTTGCGCGAATACTTCTTTCTACCTCAGTCTGACAAGTAGATAAATCGAGCGTCTAGATGGTTTTTGAAAATTATCATGCAGTGGTAAAATGGGGATGATCGGAAAGTAACAAGACGAGGCCCGACGTCAGAACCACAGGCCTCGTCTTGTTACTTTCCGATCATCCCACGCAAATACTAAACCCGAGAAAAGAGAGGAGTGGATGGTCGCCCATTCTCCGCTCGAATCGCCAATGCTCCCCACCCGCACCGTGTCCATGCATCATCTGTGTCCCTGCTATTCGTGGTCAGGCGTGTGGGTGCCACGAGCATCAACTCGAGGCGGGGTTCTTCCGAGCGCTCGTTTTGTCAGTGGATCTTTGATCAAGGACGAAAATGTGCCCGATCAAAAGCACACCGTCCTCTTCATGGTGTTCGGACAATTCGTGAACCACGACCTCACCCGCTCTCCCATCTTCAAACTCGGTTCTCTCCGTCTTCATCTCCAACTAATTTATATATAGTATTAAATATATATGTAAAGGTAGTTATTCCTTAGACGAGGGAGGAAAGTTGGGGATCAAGTGTTGTCAGAACGGAGAGGAAATCATCCCGAGCCCCCATTTCGCCTGTTTCCCCATTCGAATACCTCCTAATGATCCCTTCTACTCTCAATTTGGCGTACGTCCTCCATACTTCTATTTTTAAAACTCCTCATTTGATCTTGTATCGTTGTCTGTTGAGGACTTCTTTCGATGCTAATTTTTGTATAATGAGAAATGTGATGTAACGAACAGGAGCGGTGTATGGAGTTCGTGCGATCCTTGCCGGGTCCCAGGCCAGGATGCACCTTTGGACCCGGCGAGCAGGTAACCACTTCTTTCGACTCGCGAGAGTGATCCTAATAAAGCCGAGAAAATTAGAGATCCTATCGGAATTGAGAAATGACCGCAAGGGATGATGCTTGCAGATGAATCAGTTGACGCACTGGCTGGACGGGTCCGTGATCTACGGATCGGAGAAGGAACAGGCGGCAGGACTGAGATCCTTTCAAAGAGGGCAACTCAAGGTTTTTCGTGACATCGATAGAGATCTCCTTCCTCTGAATACGGAAGGCGGCGGCTGTGCCATTCCCGTCGGAGGGCTCCATTGCTTTGTCGCCGGTATGTCTGCCACCCTATCGAGGTTATTTTACAACAGAGTCTTGCTTGCTGTTTGCAAAGATCTGAGAGATCTGGTGAAATTTAAAATGTGCGAATACTCCACAGTCCATCTTTATGAGCTTTTTTTTTTCTAAAGATAGTATGTAAGTGAATGTCATCAAGAACCTGTCAAGTACTACTTTCGAGACGAGATTTTTGGTTATGTATGTGATTGCCCACACACGGACGGAATCTGGTTAAATCAATACCCCGATTTGACCCGCCTCTCTAGGGGATTCGAGGGTGAACTTGCAGGTGCTGTTGACGATGATTCAAAACGTGTGGCTTCGTTTTCACAACGAAGTGGCGAGGGAACTGGAAAGGTTGAACCCCCATTGGAGCGACGAAGTCCTCTACCAAGAGACTCGTCGCATCGTCGTCGCATGCGTTCAACACATCGTCTACAATGAGTGGCTCCCCATCCTTCTCGGTCAGGCCTACAAATCTTTCCAATTAAGTCTTCAGGAGGTAGTTTATGCCAAGAGGTGCTAAATGCAATATTTGGATCGGATGACGTTTTTTTAGGTCCCGAGTACATGAGGAACTTCGGCCTAATGCCAGCGGAGGGAGAATCATATGGGGATAGGGCCAACTACGATCCGACGATGGACCCGAGGGTCACGAACGAATTTGCCGCTGCTGCCTTTCGGGTCGGACACTCCCTCATTTGGGATACCATCCGGTCCGCACTTAAATTTACATCCCGTTGGTCGATTGCTTTTTACCATTGGTCGAGTCACTTCGTAGCCTGATTTTCTTAATGTCGTGGGGAAACTGCGAACGCAGCTGTCTCTGAATGTGAAATATTCCTACGTTGACATGTCTGTTTTCTCGTCCTCGATCTCTTTGGATTCATTCAGCTGTTGATTTTACTCCCAAATTGTAGTACCCTGGATGAATCTGGGAGAGAGGTGATGAGAGGTGGAGGAACGTGGCTGAGGGAAGTGATTAATAATCCGTCAGCCATTTACGATTCCTTTCTCTACGACGGACTGATACGCGGTGGCCTCCACACCCCCTCTCAGTCCGCGGACTCCTTCATCACGCATCAGGTATATTCGATTTTCCTTCGTTTGCGCTCGTTCGGCACCCTTTGTAAAATGAAGGCGGACCACGACGGTACGATGTAATCTGCATTGACGAATGAAATGTAAAAGTGCAATCATTGCGTCATGTTCGGGTCACGCAGAAGTTAGCATAAAGATCCTCTTGTCTCTAATTTTGCGCAGAAAGATATAGCGGGGGGGGGGGATTCTCTTCCATTCCAGAATGGAAGAGAATTACGAGGAATGATCAATATCAGAAGAACGTTCGGAATTTTCCGTAAAATTATTTTGAATCTGAAGAAATTTCTAAATGCATTCAGGATAAATTTCGCTTTTGTATGACTAGCTCTATAATAAAATAAATGTCTCAACATCGGTACGTCGATGCAAATTCATCAACCTGCTCAAGTCTTGAAAACCAGTTCTTATGGCGAATTATGTACATATGGAACCGACTTTTATCATATGTTTGTTTCTCTTGACGTACGAGGGGATGTTCCCCGCATTTTACGAAGGTGTCTCATGAATTCTGGAGACAGCAATCTTGCACAAAATCCAGGAAAACTGAAATAAACATTTATCAGCAACATAAATGGGCAAAGGAAGATCCTTTGACACGACTCCAACAGCTCCACGATGGAGAAGTGTGGAGTTTTCAGAAGTAGGTCTATGGCAACAAAAGAGATTTTCACTCCATCGAGTCGGCAACTAAGTTTTTCTAATACTTGGAAGTGTCGAAATTACGGAATTCGGTCCCGTTATTTCGACAACACTCCAAAATCTGGATTATTAAAGATACTTTTAAAAGGTAGTAGATGATTATGCTTCGAGGACTTTGCGACTCTAACAAATGCCATTTATTTTAAGAAAGGACTTTGCATTTCAAACTGGGAAATTCGGTCATATGCAATTTCGAACTCTTAGGACCTGAATCAATTTATATTAGTCAAACGCGCAATTTTCTCCCCCCCCCCCCCCCCCCCCCCCCCCCCCCCCCCCCNCATGCTCTACATCTGGTACGTCAGCTTCTAACAACTATTGTATTGTCACCCACTTTCAGAGGTTTCATACGTCTATGATCACTATACGAGTGTTGTCTTTTGGAGTCATTCTGCTTCCGAGATCCCAAAGATGGTCTACTTCCGGATCACGCGGCTTTACATAGAGGGTAAAAACGAAGGTGAAAGAGGGTAGTTAGGCCAATAAAGGGAAATGGACATGGTGGTTTTTTCTATTAATTATTAATACTTTGTATTTTATTAATACTTTGTCTTAACTTTCTTATAACTATCATGGTTTCAACGTGCGGTATATGGTTTAAGGTAATACCTAAATTATGAAAAAGGCTGTAAGGAGTTTCCAAAGATATTAGAACTGACAGGAAACTGACTGACTGTCCGTCTATCGCATCAGACCATTCTCATAACCTGTTGGCTGAAAAAAAAAACAGGAATTCGCGGAGGCCACTCTTGGTTGTGAAAGGCTTTCTCTGTTGTGAAATAAGATTCGTACAGGAATTTAAGAACATGCGAGTGTATCGCGACAACTCAAACCATTCACAATACGTACGTGCCATTCCGGTCGTATTTTTCTATCATGCGAATAGCAGTCATGCAAGACCCGCATATTAAACAGTGTTTCAGTTCAGAAACATTCCTTAGCGGAAAACTTTCTTGGGAATTGGAGCAATGGTGTATTTCTGACATAAAAGTAAGTGTGTGAAAAACCATTTCCAGGATTTTCACTTCGCTAGACTTCACAGCTACTACTCGGGAAACATTTACGTCTTCTAATTGAGGCTAATCTACTTCTGTCTTAGAATTCAAATGAGACAACCCTGGTATACAGCCAAATTTCGGATGAATGGGTGGCGTCATCCCCCCCGGTCAAGGTGTATTCCGGAGGATTTTTCAAGCTCCACTCTTTCCTTTGGCCTCGCAGCATTAAAATTAAACATTGGCAACGATTAAACTTATGTGATGAACGTCAGATGAGGGCCTGATCAAAGTGAAAATCTTGGAAATGGCTTTCCATTATTCAATAAAGCGTTCACTCTCATTTCGACTAGCCTCTTGATCCTTCTGACTCTCCCATGCCCAGGAGAAAATGGGGTGACCGTGTGGTATGATTCCCCTTCGTATGCAGGTCACGCATTACCTGTTCGCATCTCTGAACAAGACTCACGGCTTGGACCTTGCCAGCCTGAACATTCAGCGGGGCCGAGATCACGGAATCCGACCATACAATCACTATCGCAAGGCCTGTGGACTACCCCCAGCCAGGGACTTCTCCGACTTCGCTCCCGTCGTTCCTATCCAAGTTTGTCAATTTTGTTCTTTTTCGTACAGTTCCTCTTCATCCAGAAATAATGTTCCAGTATGAAATGTTGGATATTCCAATGGCTCTTGCTGGAACATTGTCTGGCTGGGAATTTCAGAGAATCTAATATTTTCCATCCGATGAGAGTCGTTAATCAACAAAGGTTCAAGTGAACGGGGAATCAAACTCTCCGTGTCGTACCTTCCCAATCTCCTTCGGATTTTCTTTGAGAGATATAAAAAAGGATAGCAGCTGAAGTGATCTGAATTGCTCTCTGGCCATGACCCATGGAGAAACTCACCTAAACTTATGTTGAGGCCTGAACAAGACGGCAGGGGAAAGATTGGATTTCCCACAGTCCCAGATCTTCAATGAGGCCACACTAGATGTCTCTTGGTTGAAAGAGACCTTTACTTTTTTTCCCCCTTTCATTTTAAAGAGAGAATTGACGCGAGCTCGTTCATTCGTCTTCATCTCAGCCTTTCAAGTCTCTCAGAACTCAATGAGGATGAAATTGACGGAGAAACACTCGACTCCAAGGTCACTGCACTATGTTTTGAAGACATTGATTGCGATGCCGTTTAACCGAGTCGAAATTCCGGCACACCGTGATGGAATAGATTTTTTAGATACTGTCAGGTTATATAGAAAATCGGGACACACGACGACCAGCCAAATTACCACGGACGAAATTGACAGCTCGACCGTACCCGATGAGGGCCATGCATAAATACAGGATGATTTTTTTTTCATGGGACCATTATAAATATTTATAATCTTGGAACAAATAGTTAGATGCCTGAAATTTCACATCAAGAATCCGTAAACATGGGAGAGTTATACTCTATGAAAAAACGTTCAATGTGTCCGCCTCTGCGCAGTTACATGTCGTAGAGGTGTTGTGTAATTCTGCACAACTGCCTGCAGGGTATCCAGGAAAATGGAATAAAGTTCTGTGGCCGCCTTCAGGTCTCTAAACGTGCATGGATTTAAACCTTGATTCGAAAACTTTGTCCTATAGGTATCCCCAGAGGAAATAGCAACATGGATTGAAATTAAGGGGAAATGGTGGCCATACTAATCTACTGTGGGTATCAGGAAATCTGCTAGACAGCATTCTGGTACCGGAGTTCTCGTGTAGGAAATCTAACACGACGTTCGCTGTGTTGGCAGAGGCAGTTGTGCAGAATTACGCCACACTCCTTCGACATGTAACTGCTCACAGAGGCGGACGCATTGAGCATGTTTTTTCAGAGTATAACTCTCCCATGTTTATGGATTCTTGATGTGAAATTTCAGGCATTAGCTCTATTTGGTCCAAGATTATAAATATTTATAATGGTCCCATGAATAAAAAATCACCCTGTACATGTATTGCGGATTGGCGATGCTGGGAGTCAGAACGAGCTGAACACTGAAGCCCAATTTCAGAATCCCTCCATTCCAGCGCGTGTCTCCTTATACCACGTAGTGCAGTCTATCTGAAGTCCTTTAACCATGATGTGAACCCAGAAGGCGAAACGCGACTGTGCATTGCACACCTGCATTATCAACTTATCAATTTTTCCCAATCGTTTCGTTGAGTTTCTCCTTTGAATTTCAGCACGTGGACTAATAATGAAAATCTATTGGTGGATGCAGATTGCACAAGGATGGTCGAACGTGTACGAGGAAGTGGATGACGTGGATTTGTTCGTTGGGGGTATCTCTGAGAGACCGTTTGGAGGCGGCATATTAGGTCCCACCTTCACCTGCATCATTGGAGATGTTTTCACTCGCTTGAAGAAAGCCGATCGCTTCTTTTACGACAACCCGGGTTTTCCTCATTCCTTCACCAAAAGTAGGTTTCAAATTTTCCTTTCCCTTTGCTTTCATCGAATGCCTCGATCCTACTATTCCAGCACGGATATCTGGTAAATAAGTGTGAGATTTTTCCCCATTTAGCAAGATAAGAAAAAGTGCAGGCCTCTCGAGAGTCTGGTTTCCTTCTTAGGCTGTCTTTCCTTGCATGACAATAAATTCTTTCAAGTATCGAGAAACCCAAATAGACGGAACTCTCGCGCTTTGAAATTGCTTTCATGTATTGGTCGCAATCTGTAAGTGCAAAAAAAGTAAGTTTCATTTAGTCGTATTTCAATAAAAATAGAATGGCGAGACAAATGTTCACTCTGACCTTTTCGAGTTGCCTACATTCTAAGGCACGCCCCACTTGAGGGTTCTGCCTCGCGTTGTCCTTCCCTTTTCTTGAAACTAAAATTTGCAGCTTTATTTTTAACTCTGAAGAAACGTTTTCTGAGGAAAACCCTGAGCAAGCCCAGTCCAGTAAAAGCATTTTTCTATGAAGACGGGATTCACTATTGAAAAGGTAGGACGGTGTGTAAGGGTTGTCAATTTGCCAATACATGAATTCGGTAATTCTCACTCTCCATACTGCCTGGTGGAGCCCTTGAAGATGCGATAGATACATGATACGATGTTTCTGGATGACCAACAAACTTACAAGCGTCCAGGGTCCGCCATCAAACTGTACAAAAGATCCTTTTAGAACTGCTAGGTGTCACGTGTTTCTAAAGGCCGTATATATATAATTTAGGATTGTTCCTTTTGGTCATATTTGTTTCATAAACAAAATTGATCATGTGTACGGGCGCAAATTTTCACAATCAGGGCATTTACTTATCAAACTTTGAAAGCGTCCATGCACATGCTCAGGCGCGCTGCTGGCAAATTAGCGGTCTTTCGGACAGATTTTCTTCTTTGCTTTCGACAACTGCTGTAGTTAGCCAGTGGAGTTTTCGCGTGGAATGTTGATAGTTGAACTGATCTGAACAGGTCAGTTGATGGAGATCCGGAAGATTAGTCTCGCTCGGATCCTGTGCGACGGCAGCGATCACATCCGCGACATCCAACCCCTGGCCTTCTACTGGTCATCTTACTGGTCACTATTTTCTTTTCTCCATATCACTGATTCTTCATGTGATTCGAATTCCTTTCAACTTTTCCTTTCTTCCCCCAGGAATCCGGTAGTGTCATGCAATAGCCCTACGATTCCCCGTCCCGATTTCTCCCCGTGGAAGGACTTCGCACAATCTTGAAATAGTGGTATATTTTATCAGATTTATATCAGAAGAAAAATTTATTTTTCAGAGTTTATTTGTCAAATTTGTCGTTCTGTGATGGGGGCATAAAAATGGCATTTTATTGAAGGAAGAGTCTCCACAATTTTCTTTGTATCACATTCCCATGGTTTGTTTTACAGGAAATTTCCGTCGGAGTAGGGAAAAAAAAATTTTCTTTTGTGCTCTATCGAATTCTCTAACGACCACACGGACACACATTCTTTACACACTCGCTCTTTCCAATATAATACTATACAGGACTAGCCATGGATATACAACATCCAAATTTGAAAATGTTTTCCTCCTCTCTTCCTCTTCACAACCGAATGCCTCAAGAGCTGCCCTTTTGCCCTCACTTCATCACATTAAGCATTTTTGTATATGTATAAAAAAAAAAGAGCAGTGAGTATTGAATGTTTTGTAGACAGGGATCACAACTGAGAAGTAGAAGTGGATTACATGGGAGGACATTTCCGGAGGGCCTTCCTTTGAAGTCGGATGATGCGTCTCTCCCATTCCTGCTTCCATTCGATCACGATCGATCGTTTATCGATCGTCAAACCCGGGTTACTCGACGACACCTTCCCCAATATCAAATACGGTCTATCGAGATGAAAATACAAAATACATGAGCTGTCAGAGGGCCTATAATATCCTGCTGAGAGGAGGTAACCAGGTGGGATTTACCGTCCCATGTTGATTTTGGGGCATTTGCAGGCGAGGTCTTTGATGCGGATCCAGAGGACGTTGCGCCCCTGGGACAGCTGAGGCACTTCTCGCCCCTTTTTAAACACCGTCCCCACATTCATCGAGAATCGAACCCAGTCCCCGATGATCTCACGGCCGTACGCCGTGGCCAGGAAGCCTGCAAAAATAATCAAACCCAGCTCGGTAGGAGAAAATGTTCACCAATACTCCCACGCTCCTCACTCCTCGAAAGAAGGACTTCTTTTTACCATAATGTTTCCGGCAGAGTTTCTTCAGGTTCAGCCGCTTCGTGTTCACGCGACACTTGCCACATCGACCTGCAACAAAGTTTCATCTTATTCTTGGACGATTTCTTTCCAGCTTTAAGTTCAAGAGGCAATGAAAATCAATCTGCAATAAACCCATTACCAGAGAAGTCCACTTTTCATTCCAATCAATCAGACTTTATCGTTTGTGAAAATTTTCTCAAAACCACATTGGATTACAAACTCAGCACTCATCCACCAAAGTAATTTCATTCCAAAAGAAAGATTTGTTGGGGAAGAGAAAAAGTAGACTCTTATAGACAATGAAGTCGTTTCTACATCAAGTTCATTGAATGTCTGGGTTCCCAACAGGTTAAGTACACGAATTCTTGGGCGGGGGGGGGACACAAGTTATGAGGTGATTTCCCACTGAAACCACTGTGACGCAAGGTGCATATATGGCCACATGTATTACTCAACCTTCTAAATATTGATTGTCTTTTTCTGTACTCCACTGACGCTTATATTTCATTCCCCGAAGTGGTTAAAACCTTGCGGAAGGGTAATGACAAGAACTAAAATCTTGAACACCGCTACGCAATAGGTGAATATAATGTTTCGTCTAGGGCCCACTGTGGCGTTAGATTAAAAAAAAAAGTTAAATGGTGGTTTCACGGGGCAACCACCTTGCCGGAAGGGGTTAAGTATGTGTGAACACTTTTTCTCTAACGCATACATTACTTCCCCACTATTTGTTACTCTGGGCACATCTCGAAAATGCTCTATCCTGAAATTCTCATACACTGCAATCAATAGAGAAGTGTTGGCAGATCGGACGCCGATGACTCGTATTTTGCTATGACGTCAACATGAACTTAGCTTGGGATAAAGAGGAATTAAACATATAGAATTGTCCCCTCTAGACTGCATGAGCGCACTTCACTCTTCTTACTCGTCGGTAGCTTCAACTTCAATTCGCTTCCAACTTTTGACTCTTATAGCCCTGCCCAGTAAAGAATTGTTCCCAAATTTTGATTACATAAGCATTAAATTTATCGATCTTTCTGGGCGCGAGAGAAGTTTTCTTAAAGGAAAACCATTTTGTTACCTTAATCCTACTGGACAATCTATAAGGGGAAGGCTTTTCTTTGGCCCAGGGCCTAATCTTTCTGGCCCGATGAGACATGGCCGGATGTCACCTCCTGTGACATAGAGAGATTATGGATCCAGGAATGCATTTCTCATCTAGAAAAGGAGACGAAAGAAAAGAAGAAAAGAGAAGAAAAGCCAGGTGGAAGGAGACGGAGGAGCAGGTGGCCTGTGAATCTAAAATCCTGAAGAGATGGAGTCTAAGTACCGGGATTGCACCTGGGGGGTCCCCAGGGTAATCGGGTAATCCCGCGCCACCTGGGTGTCCCTCTTTCAGACCACTCCCATGCCCATATTCTAGCAACTTCTTCCCAAACTTCCTCTGTTCTCCGACCCTAAGCTCTGGAAAACCGCCAATCAAAGCAAGCAAAGGTACGGAAATCATATTAATGGAATTCTTCCTCAAAAAACTCATTCATTCCAATGAGTGTGGAAGAAGGCTCAGAGCAAATCAAGCAATGTTTTCTCTACAACGCAGATGCTGTTTCTACGAAATTGCCTGATTGTGGACTTGTTGAAAATTCTAGCATAAGTTAAATTCTTAATTTAAACCTTTCGTCTCTCCACGATCATTGTAATTTTGGGTTATTCCAAGGATTAGCGAAAGTGCTGTGCTGCTTTTATAGTTTTTGCGGGGAAAATTCACTTTAAAATTGACGCCTACAGATTATGATTCAATAACGCCAGTTCGTAAAAATGACAATGAAAATCTTAATCATGAAATAAACTCGTGAAATTTTTGTGCGCGTAATATTAGTAACTGTTTAAGATTGTGAAACATAACATGATTCACAAACTATTACGTTGTGAGCACATCCTCAGACGATCCTTTCTCTGCTTTGTAACCATCCTTGTGTTCTTACAATGCATTGACGTTATAAACAGTTGTCGGCAAAAATAAAGTCACAAATGGTGATTTTGAGCAAATCGAGATTTAAGATTCGGAAAAGTTTCGGACCCCTCTTCCGGTTCGGATTTTTCTTGCTGGACCAAAACTTGAAATTTTCGAAAAGCGCAAAACATTCCATGCAGCAGCAGTTTCCTTTTTTTCTGTTCTTTTTGGAACTTTGTTTTACCCAGCAACCTGTCATTTAGTGGTTTGTGAACTCGCGATGTCTACTCACACCTACGCATGTCGGGATTCTCTCATTTTTTATCCAACTGTTCGCGGGAAAGAGGCTAAGACGCTTTTCCGCAGCAGAGTTTCAAGACATAAAATACGCCGCCATGTTCACATTCGGTGGGGCAGACATGGGAAGGAAAGGGAGCAGGGCATCAGAGTGAATGGAGTGGATGGAGGGAAGAATGAGGACATAAGGAGCAAGGGCGTTAAGTAGCCATTGGCTGGATGTGAAGAGGAAAACTTCCCACTCATGCACAGGAATCAGGATAAGAGCCTAAAAGACCCACCCCCACACATGTTGCGAATTTCCGGCCCTCTTTGTCCCCCTTTCATACTATTTGCATAAGGCCAAGGTCGGACTTTTGGACTCCCTTTTTTTATGAGCTTTAACCGGGGTGCGAAGGAACTTCGTAAGCTTCCCGGACCGGCATAGAATTCATGGAGTCGAAGACGGAGAGAAGGAGTCATATATATTCTGAAACTCACTGGACGTGGTCTGCACGGTGTTTGGCATGAGCTGGGGTACCTTCGGAATAGCTGCAACGAAAAAAAAAAAAAAAACCTTCTCAAGCACGTGGGGTTTCGGAATGGGTAAATTCCTACAGTCTCATCAGGCAATATTTTGTTAGGAAAAGTATACTTCCCTTCCCTAACCAGTAATCACACCCTTTTAGGCATCCACTCCAAAATACAGATGGTTTTTACTTGGAAATGAGAAAATGAAGGACTTACGGACGCAGGGAGCGATGGGTGATCGGCTCTGTTGATACCCTTTGGCACATCGGTTGCAGGTGATCCCCGTAACCCCATCTTTACAAGGACACTGACCGTTCGTCTGGTTGCACGTCTTCCCCGACGAACCGATCGGGTGACAGTCGCATGCTAAACAAGAGAAAACTTGCTTGTCAGTCGGGTGTGCTTCTCGCGTCATTCTGTTGGCCTTGCCGTTATTTGTGCTTCGAAATTTGCAAGAAGGCGTGCCAAAAGAGCCCACCCAGGCGACAGATAGATGACTCCTTACTGTCACGGGATATTAATGAATGAATGAATGAATGAAAACACTCCAGGAAGGAGGAGAAAGCTATTAGGCACGGCGTGACGCGAGCACAAAATAACACTTAGAGATTTTTTTCCGCTCCCCAGACTTTCCTTCTTTCGTCTGTTTCGAATGAGATCTACCAAAAGTTCTACCGGTCTATTCAGAAAGATTCTCGGGTTGGGAAAACTCAGGAGGAGCCCTCTAAAAAGAGCAACTTAACTTTGAATTGTAAGTTAAGTTCTTTATAATTAAAAAAAATCACAATCACAGAATATATTTGAATCACATGGTTGTGTGCGCAAGCAAAGTTTCACTCCAACAAACGCAATTGTTGATGGTTACCGTCAGATATCTAACATGGTGATTCAGAGAGGCTCTGTCTACTAGTCGCTTTTTTCTGCTTCGAAAAACATTCAAATCAGAAGAGAAGAGACCAGTGACGAAAAGACGCAAGAACGAAACGTACGTTTGCAAGCCTTGCGATGAGTGATGGACTTGGTGGGGTCACGATAGTAACCCTCGCGACAATAGTGACAGTGTCGACCGGCCGTCTTGTGGCGGCATTTGAGGCAGACGCCGCCGCTCACCCGGCCGGACAGCTTGTACAGCTCCATGTTGAACCGGCACCGCCGGGCGTGCAGGTTACAGTTGCATGCTGCAGTAGGAAAAAAAGGAACATCAGAAAAAAGCGTCCAAGAAATATGCCTCAGGCAAAGCACAGACTTTCTATGGCTCAGACTTACTATCCGTGCACCGCTATCAGATTGTATGACTTCAATGATACTTATCGCAGTTCTATTATTTTCCCCAAAAGCCGACACACCTTTTTCGTGATAAAAACTTTTCAGGACGTACGATCTCCAGAACCCTATGTATTTCTATCATGAGTATGCATCCACCCTAAAAATCTTGATAAAACGTACCACCGTTGACGACTAACTAAATGTAACCCTGTAATGCGAATGTGAGGGACGTCTTGCGATAGTTATAACGCACCTATCGTTCCCAATCATCGCGATATTTTTACGATAAGTTGACGTTGAAAATGAGTGGACAACAACTGAGCCCTCGAAATCAACATCATGTCTTTCATACTGAATTCGGGAATATATCGACGGTGCTATCTTCTCATCATCATCGGAATCAAATCACACTCTTCTTGCTTACTCAGACGAAGAGAAGGGAACTTATAGTATAGAATGGTTGCGTCACATGTTGGCCAAAGGAACTTGCGACAAGAGACGACCCCGGGCGTTCACGTTCAATACAGGGAATTTTAATTCCTTTTCTATTGAGATGCAAGTTTCAAGAAGTGTGCCGATGCAGTCTTTCCGAATAACTTTTACGCTTCTTCCGTTTGCGGAGACCTTGACCTTGAAACATGTAAAAGGAGTTTGCTGAACGATCATCACGCTTGAAAAGACCTGACCAGAAATTATATATATATTTTTTTATGCGGCATGTCTGTCTAGAATCATAAAAATTCGGATATTCTGATTCTCGGAGTCGTGAAGAAAAATTGAGAAAGAGCAAGTCCGTGCGGACCTTTTTTGAGTGATTCGCAAAATGCGTCACAGCAGGTCATTCGAGGATTCTCAGCTATTTTACATTTCTACAGTGCAAGCCTGTGCATTCTTTTTTCGTCTTACATTCGGACCCGGTACTAGGGGGGGGGGGGAACGGGCGTAGATGAAAAGAGATGGAAGTCTGTCATCATCCATCCTGAATCCCATCATTTTCTCTCTTCCATACATTAGACCTACAGCCTCCCGCCGTGCGTAGGTGGCACCTTCCCCCTATGATTTTGAATATGGAGAGACAAAAAGAGGAGGAATTAATCTCTTAATGGCCTACAGACGGTCCAATTTCTTTCCTTTCGTCTGTCATTGCGAGAGTACGAAGAGAGATGCGGTTGTGGTGAAAGGGGTTTCCTTCGTAATGTCCATGTAAGTCGGGGTTGAATGTTGATGCATCTCAATCCATTGTCTTGTCACCTCTCTCTCTCTCCGCTCACGTAACAAGGAACTCCATTCCATTCCATTGCATTGTGTGGGCACGGGCAAGCGTCCATTTATAATACAGAGACCCGTGTCCCTGTCTGTCTGGCTACACCATCCTTGTTTTCAATGTACGACGTCTTCGTCTCACCCTTGTTTCTTTACTTTTCATTCAAGCTGCACTGAACTCTCCACTAATTTAACTTGTTTATTATTATTATTACTTTTTTTTTACCATCCTTCCCTTGAGGCATGCAAAACGCAAAAGTGGTTTTTAATTTTTAAACACAATTACGTCTCATTTACGTTTGAAGAAGTCTGTTTTTATCATATCATATCAGGAGTGTTATCCAACCTCGCGATCACCGGAATGCCAGCAGGTTTTCCCCACGGTACCCAGACGTCCCAAACATATTACTGTATCCCTCTATTTCGTATTCCCGTTCGATTCGTCACTGGTTATCGATGAAAAGAGCGGAGATGGACACGATGACAACACGGAGATCCCGATCAAAACAATGACCCCACCGCAATATTCCACATGAAGACATTCCCCCTCCCTTTCAATTTCTTTTTGTATTCAAAATATTTTGTTAAGGAATTAAAAATTCGGCGCCGCTTCCCCCCGTCCCATATCTTATGCATATTTTTTTCCTTACGAGATAAATACCGACGATTAGCCCTCATTATTCCTGTTCCCTTCGTCTGCATTCCAGAGGAAAGGAGGAGGGGGGAAAAATCCGAGAAAACATCCCACGAAAGGAAAACAGAGTGGGGGATTTTTCAATGGGATCAGGTGTTCGAGTGAAACCGATCAGAAAGAAACCCCTTTTGTTACACACACATCCAGCTGCGCCAAAGAAGAATATTATAGCCCACATATATACGAAGGGGTATTTCTCCCTTCCCCTTTTCCAGCCGCCTGAGCACTAGGAATCTCAAGTGAAGCCTTGCGTCATCGGGCGTGGGAGAAGAGAATTCGATATTCGGCATCGATCGATATCAGATCGAATAAGTTCGAATTCCTCTTGTTACGACACAAACCAGTCCGTTATATAAACCGTCACGCACTTAATCAAAATGTTAATCTTGCTCGTCGTCGCGTGGGATGCTCATAATTCACCGAAAGAACAATCCTTATGAAACGGCGTTATCTTCTTCACTCTGGCGTGCATTCGTAAATCAGAATCCAGCGTGTAATTATAAGCGGTTTATCTGGGGGGGGGGGGGGGGGGGGGGGGGGGGGGGGGGGAGAGAGAGAGAGAGAGAACGAGAAAAAAAAAGGACACCTTCGGGGCTGATGGAGATGGCGAAGCGGAAAAAAAAATGTTTAAACGCGGTTAAACAAAAACCGGAGGTGCGAAGGTTCAATATTGGCAGAGAGGGGCGGAGGTTAACATGCAGCGTGTGCGCTTTTAGGAAGGACTTGGAAAAGCCCTGGTAACAGAGAGAGAGAAAAAAGGACTCTTCTATGTGCTGGCGACGCCCCATTCGTCGTTAATGGAAGGAAGGAAACAGGATTTTATAGTGGCAGAGGAGGAGGGAAATAAATCACAGCTACCACCCCACTTCCCTCTGGGCGCAAGAGGGGAGAGGAAAAAGGGATATCACGATCTAATTTCTCCTCACTAGGTTTTTTTTCTAACCTCCCCCCCCCCTCCTTTCCCCCGTCTCCTTGGAGCCATTTCATTGCACGGATATATTATAACACCGTCTCCTTTCCCGCCGCTCTTTACTTCCCCGGAGTCTGCGATGGAACGAGGGATATTCAATGTCTGCTTCATGCAAAAGTCTTATTTCAGTCAGAATCGGAACGGAATAGGAATGGAATGAGAACCACAACCAAGCTTGAAAATGTTCAAAAATTGCATGGAACACCATTAAACTATGAACGAAAATTCAAACATTAAAATATGCATATCGAAAGAAGCACGAAGGCATGAAAGGGATGAAGTGAAAGACGTAAGATTAATCGATTCTCCAAACCCAAAGCCAAAGTATTACTCTCATCGGCGAAGACCCATTTGTGGGAAGTAATTCTATTCCTCTGGGCGACACTGGGCATAGATTCCAGCGAGACGGCAGGAAATAAATGATCCCGAGTGACTCACTCACGATATAGGCCTATATACCGCAGGTGGAGGGAGGGGAGGGGAAGATGGAAACAGATGTGTGTCCACCCCCACCCCATGTAATCCCTTAATGTGTGGGTGGTGGAGATGAGGGAGGGTATCACCCTCTATAGCCCGTCTCTCCTTTCCCGTCCCCTGTCAATCGACGCCGCGCTGTCTGATCCGGTCGGAGTCCAAGTCAACACTGGGTCAACTGTGGGAGGTTAAGGGAGGCTGCAGCTGCTCGCGGTCCCGAGAAAGGCCGGCTTCCCAGAAAAGGTCGCCGATGACTATCGCGTGAGAAATTTCCGGACCTGGAGGTATATCCCCTTGACAGCCGATAGGCTGTCTGTGATAAGTCGGGACGTGCGGCTGCCTCGGGCATCGACCAAACGGATGGAGAAAAGTCGAAGGAGAGAGCGATCGTTCGAAGACCCCTTTCACCAGTTTTGCGATATGACTTATTTTTGCAATCACTCCCTCTAAATGAACTAATCAATGTTGATAATGTTATTGTCATCTGGTGGAATGATTACGGGGAAATGAAAGGAATACGCAAGATTAGCTCTAAGTCGAAAAGTCTATTACGGACATCTTATATTTCCTCTGAACGCATCCCTGGCAGACGAAGGTCACGGTGTCTCGCCTGTGAGCTGTGACGCCGGAGAATCTCGGGATTATCGAAGTTTGCTGAGCATGCATTTTAGACCAAAGATGGGGTTACGATACGATAGGGTGCCAGGCGCAAGAGTCCATGAATGCGCTCTCGCACTGGAATCCCCGCTAGCCCCTCCCCCACTTTAAACTTTAATCCCTAACCCTTGTAATCTCATCGACGACCCAAGTAACCTCTGACAAAGGGAGACTCAATTTTACCCTAACTCTAATTGAGCCAAACCGACGTCCCACGGTCGGACGCGAGTCAAAGTCCACGCAGGGTCAATCCATAGGAACCCATAGGAAGCGACGGGAGGCTGCAGCTGCTTCCCGTCCAGAAGCAGCTGCCGTTACTCCAATACCACTTCCTCCTCCACCCACCGAGAAGGCAAAGAAAGGAAAACATGCCGAGAAAGAGAGAGAGGAGGAAAAAGGATAACGGAGCCATTATATGCGGAAACGTTTCTCATCCATCCTCGGCTCTTCTTTCTGGCATGATACCATGCTATAATCCTCATCGCATAAAAAAGCAGAGAGGACTAGGTCGAACGAATGGTCCGTGAAACCATGCCAATCTCCAACCGAGGACCCATCGCCATACGTTTCGTATGGCCAGCTCCATCTTGGATAATGGAGATTGCACCAACATTCGAATAATTTCTATGAGTATCTAAAGAACTCGCTGATATTCGAGAAGGCGAATGAAAACGAAACGGTCAAACCAAGCCAAGTACAATATGTAATTAAAAGGAAAGACCGTGTGAGAGGGCTGCATCAAAAGTCATTTCAGACAGGAAATATCTGATGGGAGAAATCGTCATGGGAGACCGCGAGATACAGAGTCATAAAAAGAATACTTGGGGGGGGGGAGTATAAATTGTGAGACATCTGAAAACTGATTATCCGAAAAGTCATGCACAAAAAATCATACAATTTCCTGTCATGGTTTCTAGTCCTGGCGTGGCGGAGATAACTGGAGAAGATATCAGGCAGAGATGAATGGGGTGAAAAACAGACTGGGGGTGGGAGCGAGAGAGAGAGAGGAAAAGGAAAAGGAAAAAATGTATCTGTGGGAGTCATCAACAGTCTGTCGCAAACAACCCCTACATCTCACGATATCACATACCGTCCGATTTTTCACACAAAAGACCAGGGACAAAAAATAAAGGACAAGAACAGAAAAAGAGAAAGACCTGAGTCACCCCAGTTCTGTCACGTCCATCCATCAATTATTCATTCTTTCCCTGGGAACCATTTGTCGTCTGAGATGAATTTCCCTCAATTCATGGAACCATGCGTCATCTCTGTGAACGGACGAGATTTTTTTTTCTCCGAGGAGATCGGTGTCCAAGAGGCAGGCAGATGTTTTCCCCCCGATAAGGACAGTCGGGATAATGAGAGGAATTCCAGTGGATCGGGCCGTGTCATAAACAAAAGGGGGAAAGGGGACATGACACGACCGGACGACAACTCAATTAACAACCTCCTCAATTAACAATGCACTCCCGCCAATTATGACTCGGTATCAGGGGCGGACCTACCCACGGTGCAAAAAAAAAATATTCATCGGATCATCTTTTGCACACCTCAAAATAAAAAATATGAATAATTTAGTCTGGTGTGCAACGCATGATAGGAATGCATGGACTGGGGATGAGAGGTGAAAGGCCGCCGCTGGAGCCATAAAAACACTGGGAGAAAAACAGGAATATCATCTGCTCTGGAATGCGCAGACAGAAAGAAAAGAGACCAGGTATACAAATAAATGTTTGTCGATATGCAATTTGTCAACGATAAGGGATCTGTTCCTTGCATGCATAGCAGGGCACGTCGGGAATATGACTTATTATTCATGACTCGACAAAAAAGAAAAACGAGCAGACTGGGTCCATCTGTCGATCCTCTTTTCTGCAAATAGGAGGGGATCCGTGACAGACCCCAAACACTTCTAGGATTTCCCAGTCCATTATACGATGGTGGGGCTACCAGCCAGGGGAATAACAGCCGGAAGCGAAGAAAAGAAATAAAGAAGAAGAGGAATTCCTTGGCATTATCCGCCACCTGGGTGTCCCCTCACCAGGTGGTAATTGAGTGTCAAACCATTATGTATTAGGGCTTCACACCTCTACCCGTCTGAAGTTTCGCGGCTCTAATGATTTTTCCTTCTCGGCATTCCGGGAGGTCTCGAAACTTTCCAGCTTTATTATTGCGAATGTGAAGAAAAAAAACTGGCAAGGGAGCGACCGTTTTCAAGAACTGGAATCCGGCACGCATTCCTGAAAGGATCTCTCTGCCATCGATAAATAATTTCCGAGGGGGGGAGACATTTTTATTATGACGACCATGATGGGAGAGCGACCTCGTTTCGATCATATCGTTGAAGTCTTGGAAGGCCGAGTCTCGAAAGAATCGAGTTTTTATGATTCTTCTCGAGAGGTTCGGTCCAGCCGTTTTCGCACAAGCCCTGCGAGACTTAACAGATTTAGAATGACGTCTTTATAACAGCCTCAGGATACGAGGAGGAGCTAAAAGAAAGATAACTCGATTTGCGAACATAGCTGGATGAAAACCAGAGAAACGAATGAATGAAATTTGGGCCTTGTTCAGAAATTTCAAGAAGCTTGCAAGATTCAGAGATTTTCGCGAGGATTCAAAGAGAATCTCGAGAACGCTTGTACGAACACGATAGTAAGAAAAAACGACCGTCGAGATCGCTTCGGATAACAGAAGTCTAAATTAGTCGACTCGTAAGATTCCAAGGTCCACCGGTGCAAAGCCAAGACGTTCCCGTTGACTTATGACCGTGTTGCATGGCGTGAAGGGGGTATAGGTACCTTGTTAGACGGGGATGCGCCATGCCTCCGGCTTTCCTGCCCTTCCTGGCAAGGGATAGGACTTTATTTTTGAGCCTACAAAGCCTCCTTTCATTCCGAGAGGGTGGAAGGAGGCAGGAAGGCAGAAAGAGAGACGTATCGAATCTCTCGGGGACGAGAGCATGGCATGTCTGAGTCGTGGTATAAAACACGAAAAACATGGAAGGGAATTTTATTATCATGTTCCGCCCTTGTCCTGGGCTGGTCCATCCGTCAAAGCCCCCTGACAGGGACATCAGCAATCCCAGGCTCTCAACCTTTTTCTTTTCCTTTGCCCTTTCTAGAAGGAGATGATGGCGGCGTTCCAAATGGATCTCAGAGAGAGAGAGAGAGAGAGAGAGACAGACAGACAGAGACAGAGACACACCTGGGTCCATATGCACGAGAATCGGTCTATACCGCCGTCATACTACAACAGCGTGTCAAAGAGCGGCACGTTGTTGTTCTCATCTTCATCTCATCTCCCTTCTCCCAATTCAATTACCTCCCCTAATCTCATTTTCTCGCTCTAGCAACTCACTAATGTTGTTATGGGGGGAGAGAAGGAGAAGTTACCGAAAAAGATCGGCTTTGCGATGACCTTTGGGGTCGTCGCAACGCTTTACTTTTCACGAGAAAAGAGGAAAGCGCCTCGGTGATACGAAATCGAGAACGTACCGACGCATTCGTTGGCTTCACGGGCGTTTGCTCTGCTCCAAGGTCGGTCGAAATGGAACGGTTTACACTTTTCACAATCCCGGCCGGCAGTGTTGTGCTTGCAGTCGCAGGTCAATTGACCGTCGTCGCCCGGGATGCAACGAGAGGCGTGGCCGTTGCATTTGCAGCGACCGCCGACCGCGAAATCCGACACGGAATAATAATAATAATCCGAAGTGTCATTTTCTTTACCCAAACGGGTCAGCCGGTTGAATTCCACCCGGATGTCCGTCGCCGTCACCCAGTCCTGAACACAAAAAAAGGAACGGGATTTATTTATTTGCCACGGCGATTCCATTCCGAAGAAAGAAGGATGGGGCTGAATACCTGCAGGACGGGTGAATTGTCGAAATCAAAAGCGGAAGGTCGGGCTTCGAGAGTGGAGAAGGCGACTCGGCTTCCCGCCAGGGGGTCTTGTTTTATATGGCCATCCGTACAAAGGGCTTCCTGCTCGTTCGCCTTCGAAATGCCCGCCTTCAATGGCCGGCCGTACATCTCGTCGCACGTCGAGGAATAGAACTGGAACGCCTGCCACGTCTTTCCATAGTCCATGCTCTTGTAAACGGCCATCGACTCCGGCTTCTCTCCGCAGAACTGGAGGCTTACGTACGTCAGTTCGTATTTCTTGCCCAGGGAGAGGGTCAAGGTAACGTTCTGGCCGTCTTCGTTCGGGGTCAGGGGTTGGCTCTGCCAACAGGTCAAGTTATTTGGATTGTTCAGGTCCGTGAGATATTCCGGCGGGTGTCGCAACCGCGGCTCGGAGTCGTCGCACGTGTCGCACTTTTGCACCAATTCCCCCTTGTCGTTGGAGTCGGCGATGCAATATCGCGACGGAGGCTGTCCACACGTGCTGGACGCAAGGACCTTCTGTCCGAAGGCGGCATTCACGAAATCGGGGATGCAAACCGCGGGTTTTAACCCGGTTTCGTCGTAGCACGGGTCCGGCGGATTCCCTTGCTGGGCCGCGAACATCTTCAAGAAGTTGTTGGAAGCCCTGGCCTGGGCCAGAAGACACAGGACGAGCGGCCAAAGCGGCTCCCTCATTGTCTTACAGCATTCTTAATACAGAAGACAGCATGACAGCATAGACGAAACGTGCACTCAGACGCACACAGACGCACGGACGATACGCAGGGTACGGCTAGTGACGAGGGACTGATGCTGGAAGGGATTCGCTCGGGGATGATCCTCTCCGTGGCTCCGCCCACGTCACTAAACGCTCCACCAATCGGAGACGTTCTCTCGCTTTCCGCACGAACTCGGGTGTCCGGGGAACGTCCACACCTGGTGTACCACCTAGGGTACCGGCGGTACCCGTTCCTCGACCCCCTGCGGTAGAGGGCATTAATAACGGAGAGTACTCTCGACAGGTGCTGGTCATGATTTGACCCTTCTGTCACGCACGACTTTCCCATTTGTCCCGAACGAGAATGAGATGCAAGTTCTCGGCACGATCACTATAAAGTGTGAACAAAAAATCGAGCGATCCATCAATTTGAATTCTCCTTATTTGGATGGACGGGATCGAAGGAGAGATAGCATTGCGAGTGGGGCTCGAGGCGTGGAGCTGCCCTGCCCGCATTCGAGCGCATTTTCATCGCTGATATCATCGCATATTCATTGTTGCAAATGGATCGCCTCCGAGGATGGCAGAATATTTCCCAGAAGCCAAAACGGTCCCGGTTGCATCTTATATTTTACATATTTTTTACTTTTGTGCATTCTTCTAAATCTCCCGCAGCTCTATTTTTTTTCATACGAAGTGAGGAGACGGTGCATTCCTTGCATTCCTTCATCTGATCACCTGATCACGGCTGAATGGCGTGAAAAAATGATTACTCGTCTTTTACATTTATGGTTTTCTTTTTTCTCCTTCGTAAGTAAGCTTGCCCCTGGAAATAACAGCAACCCCTGATATTATCAGTATTTCAACCTTGATATTTCCATTTTTATTTCACCACCTAGTTACTATGCGTACCACAGAATACAGGGCGTTGCTTCGCGTGGGTGTCATTTCGGACAAACTGGAACTTCGTTTCTATACCTTATTCATAGTTGTAGATGTCTGGTGAGTTCCAGTTCGTCGTCTCGCGTCTCCGTCTCATAGCTTCACATTCCCCCCGTCCCCCCCCCTTCCCCCTTTCCCCCCCCTCCCCCTTCCCCCCCC